CCTCAAGACTGCAGCTTCAGCCATTCAGAGCCTGTTTTCTGCCTCCTCTTCCTGCCCCCAGTTTTCTGACTAGCGTGGAGAAAGGTCACTTGGTTTCCTGCAGGATTTCACTATTTTGAAATGCTATTTCAGTTCCAGCTTTTGGACTAAAAAAAATAAATAGAGAAGGAAATTGGATGTGGATGTTGGATCCAAGACATCTGCCCCCGGGGCTGCTTTGCAGTGAGAGGCTGGAGTTGGTCACTGAGATAGCCCAGCAGACGGGCAGTGGAGGTGTCTGGCATACAGACTGTTAGGAAACCAGACCGTTTTCCATTGTAAAACTGCAGAACATTTGTAACTTGGCAAATTCTAACAACAATGGCAAAAAACACCCCTTCGATGCTAATAAATGCCTTCTGTTCAAGACCAGCTGGAATTTCATGCATCGTATTGCGGCTTCTTTCTTTTGGACATCAGGCCTATGTAGACATAACATATTTCAGCATTGCTCCTTGGCCCTATATCAACTTTTCCTGAGCTTCTCTGCATATGTTAATGAAAAATGCTTCAGAATTCCAGCTTTGTGAAAACGAATGTATTTGTTTTCAGTCTGTTGTGCAGTTCTTTTAACTGTGCCTCCTGTCTGTACTATGTAGTTTGGCTCCCGGACAGGCTGAGAAGAGGTAATGGCAAACAGGGGATTTAATCCCTTTGATTGAAATAATTTCAGTGTGTCAATGAAAGTAGTCAATATAAAAGAACAAGGTGACAAAATTTTTCTTGACTTTAAGAAGATACTGAACAGGTCCTGTGCAGGAAAGGAGACTATTGCACCAAGTAGCTACAAGGTGAAGGGTGATTGTCATGGATCAAGACTGATGTGGAGGCAGGAAACAAAGGGGAGAATTGCATGATGAGGACTCACTGTAGAACAGCTGTTGTGGGTGGCCCTTGCTGTCCCCCTTCAATTCTGCTTAGCAGAATTTAGAGGTGCTCGGGGATGTTTGTCAGGGAAGGAAGGAGAAGCAAAGGATACTGACATCTGCAGATATCGTTAAGTCAGGCTTGGAGAGGGTGATGAGGAACTCCAGTAAATTAAGAGAAAGGTGGTGAATGAAATGGAGTATGAACAGCTGTAAGGTGATGAGCATCAGAGGAGAAATGTGAGGTGCTTCTTACACTGCACAGATATGAGATGGTTTCACCAGCTCAGAGGACCCTCTCCTATGGTCATTACAAGAAGACTGGGGGAGTACCCTGCTGTGGGACTAATACAAAAAGCTTCACCTGCTTTCCTGTCTCAGCTTCTGGCCCAGGAGCATTATGTGCTGCTGCAGGAGGCTGGAGGAGAAGAATGCTGTGGCTCAGGGTCTGGAAACCATCCTGAATGCAATGGCTCTTAGTGCATTTTGGGAGGTCTGGTCTAACTCTGTGTGCTAACCCAATCTCTTTACAGCAAGTTCTTTGTCTTGTGCAGCTCTGTCCCCACAAGCTGACCTAGCAATCTTGCAGGCTCTTTTGCCTGCAAGAGATTTACTTAAGACCACTATTTCACATGCAGTCAGTTTGAACACGAAGAGCTGTAGTTCCTCTGCCTTCTCCTGCCTGTTCCTTCATTCAGACAATTATTTTTAACACAGCTGAGGTCGGTGATGAGTCACGCTAGGACAGTCTGTCATGACTGAAGGGGAATGGAAGGATGTGTGGCTACAGCAGCAGGAAATCCTTAGCCCACCTTCATGATGCTCACGGATTTGCATCCTGCTGATGACCACTGTTCCTATGTGTGAGTGGGTAGGTGGAGCAGGGGAGGGGTCTGCCTATGCATATGACATTGCCAGACCATGTTTATTGCAGAAAGGAAGCAGGTTGACCTGATATCTCCCACCCATAGTTTTGTGAGTTCAAAGAGGGGTAATGCTGCAGAAGACTTGCCCTTAGCCCTATTTCTGCCTTCCTGGGGCTGCAGTCCCAAACCCCAGAGGAACATCTTGGTATTTTCCAATGAGAAATGTATTTGCATATTGTATTGCCTCCTCCTTGCTTTAGTACCCCTGTCATGGGAAATTTCCCTAGTCATGGATCCTTGCAGCTCTATGGACATCCAACCACAACGTAGCTGCTCCATACCTTCCTTGGGTTCTTCTGCACTTCCTCGTACCTCCTCCGCCTGACTTTCCTGCTGCTGGCTTGTGGATTTTGAGCCCTGATTCTACATTATTGGGCAGAATATGTGAACAGGGGTCTCTGTTCTGCACAGAGGGAACTGAAAAGTAAGCTGAGAAGTCAGCTGAAAGCAAATATCCAACCAAGAACAAGACTTTCAGGTGGAGGGATAGGTCTCCAAGGATCTTTATTGGCATTTGGTTTTAATTCACTGTTAAAAACGCTGTATGAAATATGAACTCTATTCAGACAGTGTATATTGTGCATATATACATCTTCTACAGCTCTCAGCGGGTTTGCATGATTATATTAAAATCCACCCTATAAAGTTAGTGGTAAAACCTCCAGCATTCACATGGTAGGTTCTTGCTAATAGTGGTTTCTAGAGTCTGTGCCTCACTACCCAAGAAATCCACCAAGTGACTTGCACACAATCACCTGAGAAGTCTGCTGTGGAGCTACAACACTTACGTTTGCTGCTTCCAGCCCCTATCTTCTTCATCACAACATCCAAAAGCTAGTTTTAGGAGCGAAATAAGAAGAAAAGAGCCTGATGCTGTAATCACAGTTAGCATGGGGAGGTATCTCATGAGTAAACCTAAACCTGTCTAAACAGAACAATGTCAGGGAAACAGGAATGTATTTTATGGCTTTCTAACAGCAGAGGTTATCACACTCAGGGATGAGTCCTTGGCCTCTTCCTGTTGAAATTAAGAGGGAAAAAATACCACTGGCTTCAAAGAGAATGAAGAATTATCTGGGGATTACTGGAGTCGTCAGTGATTAGAACTTTGCCTCTCTCCTACCCTTTCCCACAGATTTACTATTTTATTTCTTTTCTAAATAAATTCAAGGAATGTTGTTTATTTTAGAAGACTACAGGCTGAAGAAAGAATCCCAAAACTGTGGACAGAAGGGCGGATTGAAATCCTCTTGTTTAAATCATCTTCAGCTGGAAAATTTAGGTTTTGGCTACCCAGCATTTTCTTAACATGGTCTTGTTTTGGACTAACATAAACTCATACTCAAACTATTATTTCTTGGTGGTTATGTACGAAATAAAAAACAAGGTACCCCAAAACTGAAATATATATGTACATATGTGTAGATCTTGAAAAGGAGGTGTGTTGGTTTTGGTTTTGTTGTTAGAAGTATTTAATATGATATATATATCAGAAACAGAAGGTTGCTGTCCCTCCTGCTCACTGTCATATTGCCAGCTATATGGATCAATGGGAAGCTTTTCCAGGGGTCAAATTGCATCACAGATTTTGTTTTCTGCTCGTATGTATCTTCCTTTACATCCATTTTACTTGTGTGCTGGGAAAAAAGTGTTTCTGAGAGGGTTTACCCATGTAGAGAATCCATGTGGCAGTTTCCAGGCCCAGGTCAGGGAGTCCAGCACCTCCTCTGGAACCTTTGATGATAACTATGTGGGAGTGAGGTTCATCCAACTTGACTTTATCCATTCGTGATGTTTCTTCATCTGAGCTGATCAGCACAGCTCCTGTTAGAGTTGATAGCAAACACTTTCATGGTATGGTTCATCCATCTGCATGCAGATATCCAGGAATGGATTCAGTTTTGGGTTAAGGCACCCAAAAAGTGTATCTCATTAAACATACCTGTCCAGTATTATTTCAGATCTTATGGTCTGCTATCTCTCGTCTCCAACTCCATTGCAAAAGGATCCAGTCATAGAATCATAGAATAGTTAGGGTTGGAAAGGACCTTAAGTTCATCCAGTTCCAACCCCCCTGCCATGGGCAGGGACACCTCACTCTAAACCATGGCACTCAAGGTGTTGTCCAGCCTTGCCTTGAACACTGCCAGGGATGGAGCATTCACAGCCCCCCTGGGCAACCCATTCCAGTGCCTCAGCACCTTAACAGTAAAGAATTTCCTCCTTATATCCAATCTAAACTTCCCCTGTTTCAGTTTTAACCTGTTATCCCTTGTCCTGTCACTACAGTTCCTAATGAAGAGTCCCTCCCCAGCATCCTTATAGGCAGTCCTGTGTCTTGGCTTTGTTGGATGTTGTAGGTACTCTTGTGCACCTCCTAATGAACGGCATTAAGAACCTGTATTTCAGCAGCTGAATTCTATCACAGATATCTCTGTTTGGGTATCTCTGCATGCATCAGGTTCCCATTGCTTTAACGAAGACTGTGCTAGCCACATGTAGGTACCCATTATGGGCTTAGCTGGGTCATGAGGCTCCTTGGACTTTTCAACTTGATCTCCATGAACTGTGGTGGGAGCTGAGAAACCCAGCAGGCACAGAGGTATCCACATGGAAGAGCCTAAGAAATTCTTCATTATGAGGGTGCTGAGGCGCTGGCACAGGGTGCCCAGAGAAGCTGTGGCTGCCCCATCCCTGGCAGTGTTCAAGGCCAGGTTGGACACAGGGGCTTGGAGCAAGCTGCTCCAGTGGAAGGGGTCCCTGCCCATGGCAGGGGTTGGAACTGGATGAGTCTTAAGGTCCCTTCTTTCTGCCTGCCACATCTTCCAGTTCTCTTCAGCCAAGACAGAAGTTCAGGGAATTGAACCCACACCACTTCATAACAGAGCAGCACTGATCCATGTTTTTAACATGGAAAATAATAGAAAATACATGAATTATGCAGGAATAGTTTGATTTTAAACTCACTTTTTCACAGACCAATCCAGATACCATCCCTCCCTGAAACTCTATATTGAGGTATATTGGTAACGGAATTGCCTGGCCCAGGTCTCTTCCACAGGACATCATTTCTGGATGGATTTGCAAGTGGATGGTGAGCACAGTGCAGAAGGTGAAAGCTTTCCTAAGTCCTGTCTGACAGCCCAAGTGTTGTAGGACAGATAACTTCTCCCACCTGGCATATCAACTCTCATCACTAAATAGACAAGTTTCTTTCACAAAACCAGGTGCACCAGAGTCAAATCTCATTATTAAAGACCATAGCTGAATTTCCCTTCTATCTCTGCTTTTCAGAGGTTTAAACTCCAAACAGCTCTTCCTTTGACAGCTCACGTGTTTTGTACTTGCTATGGTGAATTAGTGTGAAAATAGTATCTGGATTCTGGCTTGCCTCGTTTCATGAAGACATTTGCAACAACCCAAGCAGGCTTGGCAAGTGCTTTTTGGCTCTTAGTCATCATCTGAGTGATAAAAATCCACTGTGCTCACTCTGATGAGAAGAGTTCAAACTGAGCTTGGGAAAGGTCTCCGTGTTTTCAGTGAGCACATTCTGGCGGTAATATTGACTAAGATTACCATATCTGCTCTTCCCTGCAGCCTTGCAGAAGAGAGAACAGCAATTCCCAGAAGCTTGTTAGAAGCCAGATGATAAACAGGAGTAAGAAACCTGGAAGAAGAAGTGGCCAACAACAAAAGGATTCAACCCTGGTGAAGCGTGCTGTGTGAAGCCAAGTGCTGTCCCTTTGCAGAAGGGTATTTCTACCCACTGGGAGGCTTACTTTGAAGACAAGTGCCTTTAGACCATTTGGAGATAGGGAAGGAAGAAGAGTGATGTGTTTCAGGCTTTGCACTGCCTAACTGATGTACTTTCTGTTCCCTCAGCCCCAGTTCTGCAGGAAAGAAGAGTCATCTCTTATTAGTATTACTCAGCTAAAGGAACTGCAGAATGTCATTCTCTGCATCTCAGTTTTCCAATATCCTGGCGTTCCATTTTCATCCTGCTTCGGGATGAAAAGCATGAAATGTTTTAGATGTGCTACATGTGTATGTAAAGCAAAACAAAATGTTCTTCCAGTTTAGATCTGGAATTGCAAAGATGACATATTTTGACATTTTCAGCAGAATCATTTTGGCATTTGGAAACAAATATTGATTCATACCAAACTGCCTCATTTCCAAACTGTCATTTCAGCTTGAAAATGGCATTAAAATGACATTTGCAGCTGAAATGTCAATTGAAAAGAAAATGTTTCAGCTTAAATTGACATACAGGAACAAAACATTTTGATTCAAAATTTCCCCTTATGGCAGAGTAAAAAGATTTTTTTGCTGCTGTCGAAACCCTTTTCTCCCAAATGGCATTGAATTTCATGAAACCAGCTTCCTACGACAGCAGCAACAATCTATTGAATGCAAAACAGTTAAACCACTTTAGCACTTGGCATTATTGTTTGAAACCAGACCTAAACGCAGCTGGATGTGTTTGTGCTGCCATGCAGACCTAGCTAAAGTATTCTTTAAGCTCATCCTTGTGTCAGATGCTGATGAAGAGCTGGCACTACCATCACCATCGCTTTCCTCCCCAGTGGACCCCTGTTGAAAATGCACACATGCAGCTCTGAGCTGGTGCCCAGTTTCACAAGAGATGATGGTCAGGATTCATCTACCTGCGGAGGTTCAACCTCTACAAGAGCTAAGAGGCTTCATCGATTATACTGCTTTTGGCTGGAAGGGAATTAAATGGAGGGTGTGAGCTCCTCTGCTGGGTTGGCTTCAAGGTGTCCGTTCTGACCTCATTAGTTCTTTGCTGTGATCTTCTCAGATGTCTTCTTCTTCACTACTCATTTTGTCCTCCTTTATGCTCCCCACCTCTGTAAGGGCTGCTTTTGCCAGTGTCCTCTTTGTGACCCTCAGGACAGTTTTGAGTTTCCTGGCCAGTACATCTGGCCACTTGCGACTGTAAAAGAGAGAGGAGGAGGAGTTACCAACCCTGCTCACTAAGGAATCACCTTTCGTTCTGCATCATTTTGTGTCAGACAAAGCAAAACCATTAAATGTTCTCAAAGCCAAACCATTAAATGTTCTCAAAGCCATCAAGAGGCATTGGGCAAGCAGGGGTGGTGGTAAAGAGCTGCAGGGATGTGGTCCCAGTAGACCATACAACTGCTGGAGCTGTTGCATGGGTTAATGGGATACACAGAGGTTTCATCCAAGGACATCCACTTTAGCAATGCTAATTCTATTTGCATAAAAACAACCAGAGGGCTTCAGCTGCTCCTGAAAAACATTCCTAACTGCATCAGAAGTCTCACAAAGCCCCTAGCTGGTAATAAAAGAGATTCCTTTTCATTAATAATAATTATTTATTATTTGTTATTATAGTCATTTATTATTTATTATTACCTATTAATATTTATTATTATTTATTCAATTAGCTGGGCTTTTCTGGGTTTGAGGCCATTCACTGCCACCAATGAGACATATGAGGGTCCAGCCACTCAGACAACCCCATGATCTCACCAAGCCCAAGACAGGATGGGGAGAGAACCAGAAAGAGCTGACATTCATCTCAGATCCAGGTGTGGTTTTGCTGCCACTGCTCCTGGCAGAATGAGCTCTGCTGAGAACCAGGACTTAAGAGCTGGGCTAATTCAAAGACTCTATCTCTATCCAGGCTAGTAAACTGATGTGATGGAGCTGAAGGCTATCATTTGCTTTGGTGCTTCAAGTGTCCATGATGCCGAGGTTCTACCATCTGTCAGTGGGCATAGATTTATTATGACAGAATGGGGTTTCAGATACAAAACAAACATCAAGGACCTGTAGGAAGCCAGAAGCTGAGTGAATGGCAGAGCTTTAGGGAGGTCTCAACTCTGCAGCTGTCCTGTCCTACAAAGCATCATATGAAATCAAACTCCTTGTGTATAATAGAAGAACATGTTACTGCTGTTGTAAACCAAAATAAAGACCCAAATGCTAACCCATACCACTAACACCATTATAGCTAAATTAAAAACAAATAGTTGAGAAATTGTGCATACATATATATGGTTTTAAACTGGAAACACCATTGGTGTGTACATGAACAAGCAATTACTATAGAACAGAGTAAATCTGTAGATGACACCAAGTTGGAGAGTTGGTCTGCTTAAGGGTGCAAGGCTCTTCTCACTACAAGAGAGACATTGAGGTGCTGGAGCGGGGCCAGAGAAGGGCAGTGGAGCTGGTGCAGGGCCTGGAGCCCAAGTGTGATGGGGAAGGGCTGAGGGAGCTGGGGGGGTCAGTGTGGAGAAGAGAAGGCTCAGGGGGGACCTGATGGCTGCCTACAAGTGCCTGAGAGGAGGATGGAGCCAGGAGGGGCTGGGCTCTGCTCCCAAGGAACAAGGGATGGGACAAGAGGAACCGGCCTCAAGCTGCACCAGGGCAGGTTTAGATGGAGCTGAGGAACAATTCCTGCCCCAGAGGGTGCTCAGGCATTGGAACAGGCAAGGAAAAAAGCAGGAAAGGGATCTAAAGGCAAATTGCTGAATCTTAAGAAATCACCTAAATGTATCAATCCAATGTGATTTAGGATTCAATGGAGGATCCACCCTGAACATTCTTTCATTGAACTTTATAAGAAAGAACTGATGCCCTTGTCAATAATTATCCAAAATAGAAGGAAACAAGGAAAATAAATACATAATTTGGTTTTGGTCTGGGGGTATTGTTTGGTTGGTTGTTTTTTCAGGCCTTTCTGGTGTTGGACAAAGATGTCTCTTCCGGTGTGTTGCTGGGAGGTGTCCCTGCATGCCAAAAGAGAAGAAGTAGCTGATACAGAGTGGAAGAAATGAGGAAAAAAAGAAAGATATAATGGGGAGGAAAAAACAGCAGAAATGAGTGTTTGGTCTCTGCAGTTGTGGTTTTAATTTTTGAATAGATCATGCAGGCAAAATCATCTGAGATCAATCTTGCAGTGCGGGTTAAGGAGTTTCTGTGGGGGTTTCACCTTTAAGGGCAGAGAGAATCTTAACCAAAAACCCTGTCCTAAATGACTGCTGGTCAGTCACACCTTGCTAGTCTATGGCTTGTCCAGCAAGATGCAATGAAGAAGAAAGAACCTGGAGGGATCTCTTTTCACTAAGCTGAGTTCATGGTATAGGAAGCCAGAATAAAGGGAGAGGCAGTCTTGAGTAGAAAAGTAAAAGAATAGAAAATAACTTAAAAATTTGAGCCTCAGGACTTTTAGGTGATCCCAGACGGGTCCTTTGTCCTTGGAGGACACACAGCCTGTATGCTGATACATCTAAAGTCAGCAAAGAGCAATACAGGTGATGCTAAGATTTATACATCCTGGATCCCTCCATAGACACAGCAGCTACCAATAACATTGGGGTGTAATCTCATCCCTTTGAACTCCACAATGAACTCTGACTGACTACATGGGATCTATGCCTCATCTCCAAAGTGAGATCACAAGGGATCATTAATATCTCTATGGGATAGTTCTTTGTTGGGCCTTGAAGGAAAGAAGCACTTTCTCCAGATCAGAAGCACTGTAAGATGCTGGGGATGAGATTTGGGTGCCTGAGGATGCTGTCTACCAGTGCTTGCTATGATTTATCCTATGTGATCTGCATCTGCCAGCCTTGCACAAGTGTTTCTGGTGCTTCAGGCTGAATCCCACTTGGATGAATGGTTTAGCAGGTCCACGTTACAGCCACAGATCCTACTGCAGGACAAAGTATAAGGCTCACTAGTGGTATAGCCAGGAGTAAGTGGAGGTGCACTTTGGTGATCCTCATGCTTTGCTGCATGTTTTTATCCAGATCCATTCAGAACCATCATTTCTGTTCAAAAATGTGTCCACCAAGGACAGCAGAGTCCATAGTCACTCACTGAAGGTTAAAGGATTCATTTCCTAAGTATGAGAAGCAGGCCTTCCTCTAGAGTCCAGGCCAGGTGAATACTCCAAAACATATAAATACTCAGAGATGAGTATCCCTATCTTACTACAGACAGCAAGGACCCTGTGAGACTGTTAACAGTTCACCATCTCAGAGTAATGGGACTGTAAACTGGGTGAATGGACTATAGATCACTACACCTGAGTTCCTTGTATAGTGTTTTTTTTTATTGCTACCAAGGAAAAACAAGGTTATTGATGGCATATTCCCTTTTATTATAAAATGTCTAAGATAGATTAGCTGGAAACACCACTAAACCACCAAGCAGGCATGTGGGAATAAGTGGTTGTTGAGGACATAATTGCCTCCATTGAAAGCTTCATGCACACAAGAAGAATTGAACAAGGAGTGTTGAAAAGCTCCAGGTATAAAATGCCTTATTGATTTTTCTGCTATTTCCCCATGAATCAAGCCAAGTGATCTAATGAGGACCTTCTGCTCTCCATGAGGTACTGCTAACCAGCTTTGCTTCAGTGCAAAAGTCTATGTGTGGGGGTGATATACATCCTAAATATTTTCTATGTGTGCATTCTTTGCCAAGCAGGGCTAACCCAATTGAGAGATCCTCTTTGTCTCTGGCCTTGGAGGAGCTCCTTGAGGGAGCTCTTAGGTATAGATCTGCAGGGTGTTCTTCTGTGCCTTGGAGCTTATGTTTAACAGCGAGTGCTCACATATGGTAGTGCTTATGCAGGTCTCTGCACAGTGTGTCCCATATTTAAATCTTTTTATAAAAAATGTGGAATTTCTGCCCTGTTTCTAGAACAGGGAGAGCCTCATACAAATATTTAAGAATCTCTTAAGGGAGATAAAACAGCCTAATAACACCCCCTGAATCTTTAATAGTTGTGGTTGGGAAAGAGGAACACAGCCAAACGTTCTCTGCTGGGTTTTATCCTTGTGAGAAAACAGAATGGAGCTTTAGAGTAATCTATCAGCTGGATATGGTGTATCTTAGGGGTATGTAACCAGCCTGTATCTCGGCACTCTGAGCTTTCATCCACCTCTGCCTACATCTAAGAAAGTGGAAATTGAGTAAAAGTTGGTTCAAAGACATTGAGCAGAAACATTATTGCTGCTTTCAGAAATATTATGTAAAACCGCCCAAACATAGAGCACTTTAAAGGGACATCAGACCCTCTCTATGCACGTGTGCATCTGCTTGCTCATATGCCAGCCTTGTTCTGGTAGCACCTATGTGATCAGGCACCCTTGCTCACGCTGTTATACTCCATGTAACTTCTGAATTCCAATCAAATCATCCTAAATCCACATTTATTTCTTGTACCACAGGAACCAGAGTGATGAATAACAGAGATGCATCTTGTTTCACGTCATGAGATATGGAATTACACTAGGCAGGAGATAGACATGGCAAGAAAGCAACAACAGGCAATTTGAATTCTTTCAGGCTTTATCTCTGTGTTTACCATGGACTAGGCTCATCCTGGCACAATGCACATAGACACCCAGTGGATTGATAATACACTGCAGGTAAACACAGTAAGATAGTATGTCTTTCAGGAATGAATGTGGTAATAGGTCATAAATTTGATAGGAGATCACCCAACAAGGTTACTACTATCTTTAGGCAGCTTTGCTGCTGTTCTGAGCATCTTTCCAATGAGACACTTTAAAAGAATAATACATATTTTTGGCCAAATAAAAATAAAGCATGACACTAAAACCAGCAAAGTGCAGACGAACAACACATAAGCAGGCACTAAATAGCAGCGCTACGTTGGGACTGTCCTACAGCTACTACCTCAGGTCTAGGACTTTTTGCCAATGAGTTTTGCAGCTTTCCTCCTTTTGAACTCTGCAATTTCTTCCAAGGGTAAGCCATGGGCTTTAGACCTGCAGTGAACATGTAGGCCATTAGAGAAAGAACCAGTTCAGTTTCATCTGCAATAAAGAACAGACCGTAACGGAGACTGATTGAAAAGGAAGTGTCTTCTGGTGTGAAAAAGGAAAACAAGTATTGGGTCTGCTTCTGATTTTTGTTTATTCCCCTCCCGTATCACTTCATCTTGACTTACAGCAAAGGGTGAGGTTAGCTAATTTAATTTCAATTGTCCCAAACTGAAGTGCCTGCTCTGAGACAAGCATCTTTTGTAATCTGTATAGCCAGGCGCATCCAGAGGGCTCATCTTAGACACTTCTCCCAGGATGAGATGAATGACTTTGTTGATTGAGGAGCATAAACTACATATCTATCATGGATGTGTCCAGAATACATTAGACAAGATGAATCCTGGGAGAATTATTCCGTTATTCCTCTGATCCTCCCCCTCATTCATCAAAGGGAAGAGCAGAACAAAACTGCTGTGAAGATCTTGCCTTCGGTTAGTTCAGCTCCCACCTCTGTGCCTCTTGGTCTTCCAAGGGTGCTGCTTTCAGAAGCTCTCAGCTCTCTGAGCTGTGGGCACATTTCCAAATGGAAATCCTATTTAACTGTCCCTAGAGACAGCCAGTTTTGCCTGAAAGCTTAGCACAAATTTAACAGCCTTTCCCAAGGGAGATCAGAATCAAGTTTCAGCTCTTTTGTCAACTCTGTCCTACGTATGGTAACATCTCACCAAGCTGTCCTTCCACACCTTACCTAAATCCTCAGCTCTGGAAATACCTTTCCTTTTTATAGAAACATTGATCCCTGTTTATAAACCTTCCTGTGAGTGCTGGAGCCTTTAGGGGTAGGTCCTAAGGACAGGGAAGCCGGGAGGCTATAATCCTGATGGGCTGAAGAAGGAATAGCTTCTTCTGGGAATCTACAGCTCAGGTGGGGTTCATCTCCCTGGAATTTAGCTACCTGCAGCTGAGATGTCTCCATCTGAGCCAAATTCCTTGGGCTCTCTTCCGAGCCAGTGGAAGGAAGCAGGCACTGCTGGGCTGCAGATGGGGTCTATCCCAATGTAAATGTCCTCTGTGGGGCAGAAGAACTGCACCTAGATGTGCCTGCTTCTCTGTACTGACTCTACGATGTGTAAATGACCAGCTCATATGGAAGTGTCTATGCTACCTTTTAATGAGATTAAATCATAAGAGTTGGAGAAGGAAGAGGAACGCTTTGTCTCATTCCTCTTTATGCAAGCAATAGCAAAATTCAGCCACAAATGGGTAAGCATGAAAGTCTTGTTCTTTGAGTGCACCCAGCAGGACTTCATCCAAAGGGGAGTGGAGGAGATTGCTGCCTATTTTCGCACAATAGTGCAGCAGGTTTTGACTTGATGGTGGTTTGAGGTTGAGTATTAACCCAATCACATAACGAAACACTTCATATTTTCAAGTTTGCTGAAGTTTGGCTTCTGCATATAAACTCACCTTTGTAAGGTCAAGGACAGCTCCCAGTGCCTAGGGTGCTAAGACTACGGCAAGCACAATAGGATAATGAAGCTTGATTTATCCTTCTATGAACAGCTCTATGAGCTACTTAATCATAGATCTACCTATCAGAGCTGGGAAATTTACTTCACATGCCAGGAAATCCTCCTGCTAAGGGCTGCGTTTGCAGCTTTGATTGGCTGATGGGTTTTAGGTCATGGGAAATAATAAGAAGCTAGCGCTGTTTTCTAATGTTACCTGCTCTCTTTGCCATAAAACACTGTAATGAAGGCCTGAAAAACTTCATATTTCAAGGGCTATGACTGGTCATGGCAGTATGAATCATTAACAGACCTTTAGTGAAACTAAGCTCATCAAGTTGTCCATATGAGATAACTCATGGGGTCAGACACAGACACAGATATTTTTATTAAGCCCTTATTAGATTCAATTTTTCCTTAGGGCATCTTCGACCCCTTTCTCCACACAGAATATCCACCCCTAGTATCTGACCCTTAAATACATGGCCAACAGGTTTGTGTTTCTCCAGTATAGGCAGGAGGCCAAACACAATTTATTAGCCTTCTCTTATTAAGTATCACCTCTCAGCAAGACCACCACAACTGCCCATCTGTAGATGTTTAGGCCACTCAAGTCACAAAATAAAGCATTACATAAAAGCAAATGCTCATGGACCTCATGGAAAGGAAAGACCTAAATAGAAGATGGGTTGCTTCAGGACAGGGTGAAAAGATAAGTAGGAGAGGAATTTATTCAGTACCTCCTTTTTCAGCTCAAGAGCTTATAGATGTGGAAACTCCTGTACAAGTATGAGGCAGTGACTTGAATCTACCACACTGGCTCATATAAGAGAAACAACCTTCAACCTCTCATAATCTGGCACAAAACTGAACTATCAAGATAAGGCTGGAAAAACAGAACATAATGTCTGATATCTACCCGATAATAGCACAGCATATGCATGAGGCAATTCTCCAAATATTTGCCTTGCTTGAACATCCAGTTACTTCTTTCTGCCCATTGACATTTGGCTTCCATGCAGTATAGCTTTCATTTTGACCCTTTATTAGGTCTCAGTTTCGTATAACTTTGTTTTTCCCCCTGATTACTTTCACATTCCGTTCAACTGCTGTATGATGAGCTATGGGGACAGAAACACTGCAAAAGAACAGTGAAGATCAGGGCCTTAGGATAAAAGCAGACACCTCCCTCTCTGCAGTGCTACTGATGGGTTCTTTTGAGGTTACACAAGGATGCTTAAGATTCCCTGATCCTGGGTACATAGGAAAATTCTTTGCCTCCTCTTATTGTCCCTGTGGACCTGATGTATTTTCTGTCATTTACAATCCATCCTTAGAAACAGCTCAGGCCCGCATAGGTCTGATTTTGGCACAAATGACCAGAGGACAGGATCTTTGAGGATTATTGAAAGAACCTCAGCAGTCAACAGAGGCCTAATACATGACTTTTAGATGGTAAAACCAGCATGAGAAGAACCTACTCTCAGGGTAGAAGTCCGGGTGCTTCCTTGGCTGCATGGTAAGGCAACCCACCTTGCCAATCTGGCAAAACTCTTCCCAGTTTCATATTTTCCATGAATAAGGCATCTTTGGTATCAACACACATTACCCAATAGCTCATTTTCATCAAGGCCTCCAAGCCTAAGAAATACTGTGTCTCAAAATTATCTTGCAGTAACCTTCTATCTTCCACTCTGATTGACACCCAAATAACTTCAAAGTTATGGCCCCAAATACTGTTAATTCCATTCTACTCCAGGTAAGCTCTGGGAGGGCTCTGAGCACATGGACTGCCCTGTATGCAACTGCCCAAGTAGTTAACCATTATCTGCAAAGGAAGATTAAAACCAGTTTCATTTTACAAAGAAGAAGTGAGGCAAAACTTAGAACAAGATTGTTCAGGGAAAGTCAAAGTGAAAACAGACCTTGTTTGCTGTCAGACATCTGTCTCTGAGCTAGTCTTTATAGTCAACAAAACCAGCATCTTGTGAGGGCAATTCATCTTAGGATGCAGATGTCTAAACAGGCAAGTCAAATCAGACCCCTGTGCATGTATTTCTCTTTGTTGACTACAAAGGGAGTCAAGGTTGAGTAGTTTTAATATGGGTGACCACACTGCTCTTGTCAAACAAATCTCACTCCTGGTTTTTATGGCCTGACCACAACATCCTTTCCAGGCATACAGAATGTGACAGCTGAACAGGGAGTATTCTGCTTGCAAAGCCAAGCATTGCAAGGCTACCGAATGGCTTAATGAATTTCAAATGCTCAATCTTTGCTTACCACCACTTGTATGGAAGCAACATCATGAAGTCTTTAGTTGCCTAAGGGTGACATATTTTTACAACTCAAAGTGTCCTTACTGTTCTGTTCAAATGAACAGCGTTACAGGGAAGAAACGTGTTTATATAGTGAATGAGGCTGGAGTTTTCTGCAGGAGAAAACACCTTTAGATGGAAGGAGAGAAAAATCTGAGTGTCACCTACATACAGATGACACCAGAGACCTGGAAGTGTCCCTGCTTGTACATCTCCCATACTCACGCAGAGCAGGAAGGGGATTCAGGACAATATGGGGGGAAGCAGCAAGTTTGCTTGCTACTTCTTGGGAACTGTGATGAAGGAACTGAAGAAAACACACTTCTGAGTCCCAGTACTATGCCTGAAAATGTAAGTCATCTAAGGAAAATGATGTAGACTTTGCAAACAGATAACTTCAAAAGACAGATATTCAGCCTGTGAACTCCAACAAGGACCTTTTAATGAATGTATTGAACAGTGAGGAAGTCACACTTACCCTGGCTTTATTTCAGGAGGTTTAGGTAGGGGCTTCAGAAAGCCTTTTTTCCCGACTAGCCAATATGTGTCTTCTACTCCTTTGCCCTAAAATGAAAGCAAAAATCCAGATAAAGAGCAGCTTTCTGACCACCTTCTGCTCCATACATAACCACCTCATTGGGCTTCATACATATCCAGAGACAGAACACGTCTGGAAATCTTGGGCTCTCCCTCATAATGGCTGAGATGATTTGAATTTCACTGTCCTAAAAGAGGAGGCTCAAACTATCTTAAAATCTCTCAATTAATGATGCTTGCTCTACCAAATAAGATGGTTATGGGTGGAAGGCATCTGATGAACTGCAAACTCTGATATCAATGACCCTTGAAGGGAGAAGTGGAGGAAAACAGACACTTCCTGAGTGACGTTCATCTTCATGACTGGAAAAAGGGAAATATAACCCTCATTTTCAAGAAGGGGAAAATGGATTTAGATTGGATATAAGGCAGAAGTTCTTTACTGTAAGGCTGGTGAGGCACTGGAATGGGTTGCCCAAGGGAGGTTGTGAATGCTCCATCCCTGGCAGTGTTCAAGGCCAGGCTGGATGAAGCCTTGGCTGCCACGGTTTAGTGTGAGGTGTCCCTGCCCATGGCAGGGGGATCGGAACTGGATGATCTTAAGGTCCTTTCCAACCCTAACTATTCTATGATTCTATGATTTATGATTCACATAAACTGGACCCTGAAAGTCAGGTTAATAATTTCCTAAAGTGCCAATTCATCTCCTTCCATTGACTAAACCTGGAATAATTGCCTTTTATCTCCACTTGCTACCATGGAATAAGTTGAGATGATTCCACTCATTGTGAAAGATTGTTGTGGAACCTGAGATCATATTCAGACCTCTTACTGCAGGTGTTTAAGGCAGACAAAGATCCTACCGCTGTCTATTGGCTGTGTAAGGGGAGAAGTGGTATTTTGAATTATTTGTCTTGTTTGGACACTGAAAAGTAGCAGCTTCTATCAAAGGTGAGTTAAATAGAGTCCTAAATAAATAGATCCAGCTGATTCCTCGATCCCACAGTCTTTCAATAATTACCTCATGTATTGAAACAATGGATGTGGACTACTTGGGAAGGATCCAAAGGTGGATTGGTGGTTGAAGGTCAAACAAGAGCTTATTAGGCAAATTCCTCAAGCAAGAAGATTCCCATGTGTGAAGTATTTCATACAGCCCTGGTCTTCTTACCTTGAGCTCTGTTTTTCCCCTAAGTACAATTTCATAGCCTTCATTTAGACTCCGAAGCGTATCCACTGTACTTTGGCTGACATGAATTCTGTAAGCTGGGAATGGAAAGCAAAACAGCTGGATCACTATACCGCACACATGCTGCAAATTACCCCTGCTTCATACTGGCAAGGAAAAACACTCCAAAACGCGCAGGTGTGAAGCTATTGGAGCTGCGTGGTGCTCTTCTATGTAGAGTTTGACGCTGATAGATGGATCTTTCCAGGTAGGGCTATAACAGGGCAAGAGGAGATCTACACTGGGGTCTTCTTGGAGAGGGATACTAAACATGCAAAATGTAGAAGTCCAGCTCTTAATAAAGATGGCAAGTGTTTTTTCAGCAACATTATCAGGTGGAATCAAGAATTGCCATAGAGTAACTAGGGAGCAAGAAAGAAAAGAAGGATAACCAGCTGTCCTGCTCCAGGCACCCAACATCATTTGAAAGTGATTTGAAGAGGTGGAGTTTGCAAGTGCACATAACAAAAATGTGGCTGTTCATCTAAAGCCATCTTGGTTTTTCCAATAATTGATTCCACCCATAAGCTGCCACTAACAGTCTATGAACAAAAAGAGTAAAATTCCCATCTCCCCCAGTTTGCTTCACAACCATTGCTGGAACTCACTGGAATTTGTTGGTTTTCTGCTGATGTGGACAAGCCAAGGAATGTTGCTAAACATTTTGCTACAAAATAGTTTCCTTTATTGTTGTTTTCGTTGAATTTCTTTTTCAAATGCATCAATCACATTCCCTTCCCCCTTGAAGGGTGGGGGGTGAACCAATTTATGCAGAGGAAGACCAGACAGCTCTGAGTTACAGTTCTGGGACACCAACCTACAGTCTTTCTATTACTGCATATCTATGTACATGCTTATCTATATGCACTTCTATTAATGTATAAAGGTGCTTTTGCATCTGCAGTGCTCCTGCTGTCTCCAGTCTCGGTAGGATTTCAAGGGTCTAAACCTCAGGATTCTTCAAGTATGTGTCTTGCCATTTGAAATCTGCTATCAAAGTATTTCCTCTTTTCCATTGCCTTCCAAATGAAGTGCATGCTTCTTAAAATGAGCCAGCCATGATCACAAACAAAGACAATTTTCCTTAATTAATGATTAGCCTGATTGTTAGTCTTTGTTAGTCTTTATTAGTCTAATCAAAATCACGGGAGCCAGGAATGTGGGGATTGTATGGAAGAGCGGAAAAGTTCCAGTGTGGCACATATACTGCAATCTGTTTCTAACCTGGCAAGACCTCAAGATAATACTGAGTATCTGAGGCTTTGTGTAGCTTGAAAACCAGACACAATGGGTAATTTCTTAGAGCTGTTGAAAATACCAAAAGGGAGACCAGAGATCAAGGATGAAAATGTATGAGACATTGCCTTTGGAAGCCAACTTGTACCAACAGCTTGAACATCAAAGGGAAATTCAGAACACATCCAGGGCTCTGACACAGCTGTCACTAGCTGTCCACTGTGCCATACACAGTTCAACCACTGTGGTTTGCGTATCCATTAGCCAAGGACAGCAAAGCAACAAACAGCAGATCCGTGTACACATATGACTGAAAAGCAGGTAAATGTTTCTTGCCCAACAGCTCTTTTTATATGTCTAGAAGTCTCCAGCCATGGGACAAAAAGAACTGGCTGAGAGATGAGTCTTATTTGCTGCAACTATTGGCTCTGTGCATGTAGGCTGTTGCTTTTACAACTGGAAGCCTCAGAAAAACAAAGGTAAGACCTTAAGGGAAAAATAGTCTGAACATCAACCCATCAAGAAAGACATCAAGAAAAAACAAGGAGGAAGGAAAGCTTAAGGATTTTGTTAGGATCTTCCAACACTTGTTCATGGAATTATCACTGATTATGAAAGCCATCACAAGTGATGCCTTTCATATTGCAGGACCTGGTTGCATGTGGTCTGCTTTTCTTCTCCTCCAGCAGAGTGGAAGCAGTGCCCACATGTGCTTCAACCCCTGCAAGTGCCTTATTTTACTGCGCAAGATCAGCTCTGAATTAAGGGTTCTCAGCACTGAAAGCAAGATCCAACCCATGTAGGAGAAATCTAGGGCAACATTCATGTTGATTTTGGTTGGTGGGATCCAAATCAGAGGACTGTAGCTGGAAGGCAGGGTCTTAAATGCAGACCCATAATGTGAAAGATGATGCCTTCCTTTCAGGCTGCTTTGAATTTTGTTGTTTGACTTACCCCTTCCTCCACAGCTGATTTAGTTGCGATGTTTGTAACTAAATAATGCTCTATATAACATCTCTTCATCCCTCTTGAGAAGTTCCTTTAACCACCCACCCCAGGGGCTGTCCCAAATACTCACGCAGGCCCGTGGACTCCATTCGTGATGCCGTGTTCACTGTGTCTCCAAAGAGGCAGTACCGTGGCATAGTGAGCCCCACCACGCCTGCCACACAAGGCCCTGAAAGACATGTGTCATCTCTATAACCCAGATGGTACTGCATGAATCAAGGGATGCACCAACAATCAAACCTCATACTCCCCTGCGGTATTCAAAACCCACTTAGGAATATAGGAGAACAACTTTTAAAGATCTCGTTGGCCTTGGTGCTTGCTAGAGATGAATAGAAATTTAGCATTTCTATGTATTGCACAGTGGTGTTTTATGCTTGAGAAAGGTCTTGTGTGATAGGACCTCAGTTCACCATCATCTAGGAGAAATTTGCTCGGAATTCATAGAAGCCCAAAAACTGCCACAATCTCATTTTAAAAAGACCTCATTTTCCATCTAAGAAAACTAAAGTTCAGATCTTGTGACATGCCCTGCATCCCAGTGAAACAGGATTGCCAATCAGCCTTGGAAGTCTAGAGATGCTGGCAGCATGCTGGACTACCCTGTGACCCTTCCTTGGAAAGAAGACATATTAGCTTGTCTGTCTAGCCAAAAACTGTTGATTTTCCCTATTTCTTATTCCATAGACAAGATCCACTCCCTTCCAAAGCAGCTCCCAGAGAACCTGTGCCAAGTTCTTGGGGAGAGGTATGTGCGCAGGATTTACATGAACATGAACCTACATGGAGATAATACGTGACAGCCAAACAGCACAGCCAATTGTCATGTGGGGCACTGGTCTTAGCTGATGTTTGGACTGTGGATGAGATGAGGATGATATGCCAAATTTCATCACCCACAATTAGAGATATCAGGATTGCAAAAGGAATGCAAGAGAGAAAAAAGGTAAAGAAAAAAGAGTGAGTGTTCTCAGCAATATAAAGGAGGCTTGGGGCTGTCTGCAGAGAAAAGACTGTGCCTTCCATTGGATGCATTTATGTCAGATGTCTTTTCAGGCTCTGGGTGCTCTTTCAATGTCATAATCCTTCTGGATTAAGATCTGGCAAAATGACAACAAGGAAAACTTTTCCCATGCAAGCTTACAAGAGATGTGAACATGGTACAACATAAACAACATCTGAAATGATGGTATAGATAAGGTTTTTAAATGAAAAAAGTTGTAGGTCAAAACGTTAGTTTTAAAATATAATAATAATGTTGATAATAACAATAATACTAACAATAGCTTAATTTAGAAGTGATCATGGAATCATAGAATGGTCTGAGTTGGAAAGGACCTTAAGATCATCCAGTTTCAACTCCCAGCCATGGCCAGGGACACCTCACACTAAACCATGGCACCCAAGGCTCTGTCCAACCTGGCCTTGAACACTGCCAGGGATGGAGCATTCACAGCTTCCCTGGGCAACCCATTCCAGTGCCTCAGCACCCTCACAGTAAAGAACTTCTGCCTTATCTCCAATCTGAACTTCCCCTGTTTCAGTTTGAACCCATCACCCCTTGTCCTGTTACTACTGTCCCTGACAAAGAGAGTCCTGATGATCAGTTACTTGCCTTAGGACAGTGTAATTTTATAGTGATTTTAGCCTTCTTAGTTACAAAAACTGATTCTTCATATAGTTTTCCAACACATTTTAAAGACAATGAAACTCCATAGCTGAAAGCTATGGGAAACTTTGCAAGAGCCCCTCTTATTGTCACCTCTGAAAAGTTGTTGTTGCAGAATCAAAATAACAGGATTGTAATGTAATTTACAGAGGATGCAATCAGAAGTGAGGCAGATTTTACCTCCCCCTGGTGAAGCAAAACTTGATTAAAGAATAAAAAAGAGAGAAGAAGAATGCTTCATACCAAAAATGTTACAAGGACTTCAACAGCGTGTCTGGATCAAGCACAGCATGCAGGGACTGCTGGAGGTCAGGAGAACATGATTTAATGTTTTATGCTGCCAATGTGCCATGCAACCTTGGATAAGACATTGCCCCTCAGAATCTCTTCTAGTGTAATTCCCATTATTATCAGTAATCCCTAATTTGGTTTAAGTTCTTCAGGAGAGGTGTTATATCCACTAGAGGAAGTCTTTTCAGGGTCTAGTCTATAGGCACTTCCATAGCGCAACTGTTGATACTAGTGGGTCAAGGGCCTAGTGCTGACCTAACTGGTCCTTAATGTGTTCACACTGACTAAAAAAGAGTCTTGTTGGAGATTATTTAATTCATGCTTCCATAAAAGCTTTCCCTGAGTAAACACTGACTCACACAACATCACCTCCCTTCATCTTGTGGTGGTGACATGACAGCGGCACTCGGGTATCTCAGTAATGATCAAAGCTCCTTCTGCAATAGGTGTTGCAAAGACACAAGAAAGTGGTTCAAAAAACAGTCCTCACTGAGGAGAATTTCAGTTCAGTTAAGAAGCACAAATATGAGCTGAGCTCCTACGTACTCATAGAATTATGGAATGGTTTGTATTGGAAGGGACATTACAGCTCATCCAGTTCCAGCCCCCTGCCACGGGCAGGGACACCTTCCACTAGAGCAGCTTGCTCCAGCCCTCACAGCACCTCCGTGGCCTCCTCTGGACTTGCTCCAGCAGGTTGTGGATGGTGTGGAAACAGCTGAGTCAGCTGTGTTTTTATCTTGGGAGCCCCAGTCAACAGCTGGTGGAAGCCAAGTCAATGCAGTCAACTGAGCCATGAGACCCTTTCCACTCCTGCATCTGAAGAGCTCTCCAGGGTCCACTTAAATGTCCACCACATCTCCATCAATCACAAAATGAGTGCATGCTCCCTAACACTCCTGGAAACATCTCTATGGGGTGCCTGAATTTAGGTTTCCTATTTAGTCAATGCAATCATCCAATCATAGCATCACAGAATGGTTTGGATTGAAAAGGACCTTAAGATCATCCAGTTCTAACCCCTCTGCCATAGGCAGAAATCGTATCTACAAAGCTGATGGCTAAATGGCAAGAGTTTTTGAGTGAGATACAATCATTCTAGAGTACAGCTTTTAAGCCCGTCCTGCCGCACAAAGTTATCAGTTCAAAAACAACCTTACAGTGTAAGCATTCCCAAGGGACTCCTCCATGGTGAAAGCATCCAGGAGTTCATCCACTTGCTGCCTTCCCTGCCTGTGTGTGTTCCCCCTTGTCTAGACAGCTCCGGCAAATGGCTATCCAAAAGCTTCCAGCCATAAATCTCTCACAGCAGCAAGTTACAGGGAAAACCAGATACCCTGTGATGGGAACGTTATGGCCTCATTGTTTAATTATACAGGTTAGCTGGTTTGTTTTGGAATGGCCCTTTGCCAGCGCTTGCAGGGTCACTTAATGAGTGGTGCCGGGCTAAGACTCTGCAACAACCATCAGTGGTGCAGTGGAGGTTCATACACTCAGTTGAAGTGTGGGGCTGCCTGCCACAGAGCCTGGCTGATAAACAGATCCTTTCAGCCTCTGGAAAAGCTTGTTTTCTCACCACTGCTCTCCCTGACTGCTATTCTCCATCCCACACACGGATGGAGACACACATGGAAACAGCTGAGTCAGCTGAGTTTTGCTGGACATGGAGTTAAGTCCAGAGAGGAGAGCCAAGACTCCAGGGTCAGTTCAAAGCAGGGCAGAAACTGCAGAGCAAACGCTGTTCTTTTTGTCCTCTTCTCCTCATCGATGTATTACCACAAGTGGGCTATGGGCATGGACCAGCAGAAGTTCCCAGAGGTGCAGCTTTCCATTGGAGATGGAGGGACATGGGCAGCCTATGCCCAAATGGCATTTATTGCTTTATCAGAGAGGGGAACACAAGCTGTTCTGGACACCAGTTTCCAGAGAGCAGCTGGCCAACAAAACTGGTGTTCACACCCATTCTCCATCCTTTCCAGGGCAGTGAAAGTGTTAGCAAAGCCCTCCTCTCCCCAAGCACATCCTCAATGCTTTCATGATGCTGGTGATTCCCTCTTCATGCTTCTTTCCTCAGGAGAAAGGGGGTCCAGGGTTAATCAAACTCTGCTGTCAGCTCGGTGGCTTGGAGATCTGGTTTGTTTTGGAGCATACATTTCTCACTGCTCCCACGAGAGTGTGAAGTTGCCAGATCTGTGCAAAACATGATCTGGCTTCTGCTTCTTTAGAAAGAAAACTCCAGTTCCTTCCCCTCTTCCTCTTACACACTACACCACACAACAGCTCGTTGCAACACTGCTTTCCAGATACCCAGAGTTCATAAAACCAAGAAAGAACGTAACTAGCCCCCATACGCATCACCTAGGGATAGATTTTTGGCTGGGTGCACGGAAGACACGTTGCAGAACTGCTGTCAACAGGCAGCAGCAGATATTGTGCACCGAATTCCTCTCTTTCCATGTTGAAAATGTGCTGCTTGTGCTCCTGCTCTGGGCAAGACAAGCTGGGGCTATAGCCTCATCTAATTTCTGCCAGAGTATAAAACCCATAGTGCTCCTGCAATCATTCCTTAGCACTTTAGGCTCCTGTGAATGGCCAGCTAAGACCCCTAAACTGCAAAGAAAACAATAGGGAGATTAGTTTTCAGAGGTAACCCCAAAAGAATAACATATATTGTCTAGGAGATATGAAATATCAACCTTGAACATGGGATATGAAACATCAACCTTTGATATGAGGTATGAAATACCAGAAGTTGCACCAGATGATCCTCAAGGTCCTTTCCAACCTGTTATTCTATGAAATACTGATTTTATCTCTGCTCTGGGTGAGATACTTCCTTTTCTCTGCTCTTGTTTCCCCATGTGTACAACAGGAACTGGGATATTGACTTCTGTAAAATGCTTGCATTCCAAAGCTGCAAAAATGTGGGCATTATCGGATAGGCAGAAGGACAAAACCCTCCTGTAACTCTAAATCAGACTCCTGGACAGTCTTACTCCATGTTTAGCTTCCCACTACGGGCAAGTACCTGGTGCTTTAGGGGAAGACAGAAGAACTCTGGTGGTGTACAGCTGGGAAAATTGTATTAATGAATGACTACGGTATAAAAATATGAAGGTTCATATCTTGTCTAAAAATAATGATTCTATCATAGCAGCAGATGCCTTTTATTAAAATCCCAGTCGTGCTTTCACTTACATGATGCACTCCTCCTGTCTTTGTTTTGTTTTGTTTTGGAATTGAATTACACTTCCTATAAAGAAAAGAACTTCCTCTTTTCTTTGTAAGCAAGCCACTTTCCTGTTAATTAAATAGATGACGACTTCTACATTAGAGATAATTTACTTTCTTTACAACATAACTTCTTCTTAATACCTGCATTGCATACCCTTCAAGTTATGTCCTGCCTGCAATAAATCTCCACAAACTTTCATTCTTTCATTCTATGTGCCTGCTTTTCTGTGCTTTTTAATTTCATAACAGAGTTAAAAGGCATCACTTGGATGTCCCCATGTCACACCAGTGAAGATCCTGTGGCACATCAAAGAGCCACCCTTTCAACAAAACCCTTGTGACTTCTGTGTCTGATGTAGTTCCTGACTGGGACAGAATGAGCAATTTCTCTCCCAGATGACATTGAGCCATTTTCCTCCTCGGGGTTTGTGTTTTCATTTTAACGCCCTTGTTGCTGTGGAAGGTTTTAAAGCATCTTCCAAGGGTGCTTGCTTTGAGTCAGGAAAGGAGAAAGCATTCACAGCTGGAAATTCAATTGCAGCGTTCTTTGATGTTCAGGTGCTTACCTGTGTGCAGCCCAATTCGTATCCTGAGGGGAATGTCTGGCATGTGTCTCATTTTGAATGACCCCACCGAGCTGAGGATGTCCAAGGACATGTTGGCTATCTCAGCTGCGTGCTTGTTTCCATTCCGTTTTGGGAGCCCTGAGGCAACCATGTAGGCATCACCAATCGTCTCCACCTAGCAAATGCCATTAGATTAATAAATAAATAGGGGAGAAAAGATGGAAAAGAGACATAGAATAAACCTACAAGTATTTGACCCATAGAGTTTGATTCTCACCTTGTAAACATCGTGGTTTCCAAGAACTGCGTCAAACAGCGTGTAAAGATCATTCAGGAGGTCAACTACTTCGATGGGCTCACTGAGGGCTGAAATGGTTGTGAAGCCCACGATGTCACTGAAGTAGATGGTCACCTGGTCAAAATACTCTGGCTCCACAGTGCCACCAGTCTTGAGGGCTTCTGCCACTGATCTGTAATAGCACAGGCAAAGATGGCAGGGCACAAACCCCTTTGTAGTACATGCTTAAGAGCTCAGACACTCTTGCCCCGCAGTGCTTAAAAGGTTTGCCACTAAATAGAAGGTTTTATATGGCTGTAATAAGCATTGCTTGAAGTTTCTTACTTTGATTGGAAGGTGCTTGCCAAAACTGGAGGTCAGCTCTGCAATCCTGCTCACTTTTGGGGAGCAGTTCTGTCCAGTTTAGCTATGGGTTTGGTTTATTTTTACCATCTAAAGTACCAGTACTTACGGGGGGAGCATTTGTGACAACAGTTTCTCTGTCTTCTGTTTTTCAATCTCTAGCTCTTCAGTCCTCTCCCTGATTAAATCTTCCAGGTTGCTCGAATACTGCTCAAGCATCCTGAGCATTGAGTCAATGATATTGGTCTTCTTCCCTTTGTTGATGGTTTTGAACTGGAAAATCAAACTGGAGAGTTATTCTCCATCTCATTACACCATTGTAGCATAGTAAGTTTGGAAAGGAACAAAAAGTCAACACTTATTTTAAAGGGACAGTGCTAAAGGGTGGCAAGAGTTCAACAGTAAGGGTTGAAAGGTTGGATAGAGGGTGAATTAGCATCAATGGCTGTGGAAGCTGCCCAGGAGCATGTTGCTCACACATGAACTTCCAGTGAGGGTGAGGTGAAACACTATAGTTGTTATGGAGTCCTACCATGCTGCAGATTTGCATCCTGATTTATCCAGTTACCAACCTTTAGGATAACTTGCAGCCATTTGCATTCAGAGGTGCAAATTGCAGGGCAGTAACAATGCTTGAAACCTGTTTATGTGTCACTGGTCTTAAATCCATCTTTGCACTGTGGCATGCACGGGTGCTGCCACCTCCCATCCCCAGTACTTCAATGAGATTTGCTCTCTCCTCTTGACCTGAAGATGAGCCTCTGGACCATTCAGATCATCTGTGGCTTTAGAAGCTGCCATAGACTCAACAGTGGAGTCATATGGGTGTAAAATTATTCACAATTTCTTAGAACAAAAAGGTAAAAACCATTAATATCGGTTGACTTACTTTGGCCTTATAAGAACATAGGAACAGTACCACTGGATCAGACAAGGGGTTTATTTTGCCAGTCCATGAAATTGGCCAATAACATATGTCTGGGAAAGCTGTTGAAACAGAGCTCAGGTATAATCATATTTCTGTGGGATAGGCTTCCAGTCTTCACCAATCTGCAGTTCAGAAACTTCATATGCCAAATGGCTATATCTTCGTGTTTAAAAGCCTTTGGTGAATTCTCCTTTTAAATTAATCACCTTTAAAATACTTTAGAAGATCAAAAACCATATTGATCTGAAGGTGCTATCATAATTTGTAGATCTCGCATCTCCATCAGATCATCTGTGCAAGGTACACTGCAATTGTGAAGACACCATCTCATGTTCAGCCTACTTTGCAGCCCACATAGTGGTGCCATGGCAGCCCATGCTCAGGACAAGATGTAAACCAGACACCATGAACCGTAAAATAGCCCACTAGCAAAGGCCAAATGAGAGCTCTGGGACTTCTTCAGTCATTACTTAAGGGCTCACTTAAAGGAATAAAACAATTCCCTGCCAAGTGCACACAAAGGATTGAACCCGCTGCTCCTTCCACCGACCTTAAGAAATACCTCCTCAAAGGTTGGACGTCGTTCGGGAGCTTCACCCCAGCATTCCTTCATTACCTGGATGCACCTCATGGGGGCCAACTCAGGGGCTACATTTGGGCGGCACAAGGGAGGGGGCTTCTTCACTTTCTTGATGATTTCTGTGACAAAGAGAATGGGAAGCACATTGTGAGATGCAGGGTCTTGGTGGGGGCAAAGGACACGGATCTTTGCACCTATCCCTTGCTTGCTCCATCACTCATCACTCTTATTCCTCACTATCCAATGGCTGGTTCTGCTTTCCACTTCCAGGAGTGTCTTGGAGGATTTAAAAGACAAGAGATTCATCTGCCACCTTGTCCCCTGAGAACCAGGGTATGAGCAATGAAGTGGCTGGATGGGGAAAGGATGTGTGACAGATGAATGTGTGACAGACAACACTGCAGGGCTGTGTTTAATGAAATTGCCTCTGACTCTCTCTATTAGGATCTGCAGTGTTCTGAGAGTGCAGAGGGATATGCCTAAACCCAGACACGAAGGATACCAGCCTGTGATGCTCCATTGTTAACTGGGAACAAGTATGTAGGAGGTTGATGGGAACAGAGACAGTGGAAAGTATTTTAAGGGGGAGAGTTTGGGTTCATAACAATGTCTGAGAAGTGGCTCCCTATCCAGAGGTAAAATAAAGACTAACAAGGAACTGGGCTTGGGCTTTTAGACCTTAAGAAGTCAGTCCTTGAATCTGCAGCTTTTAGATAAAACAGCATTACAGAGGTGTGAAGCCGCAGGTTTCACTGACAGCTGAAGGATGGAGGACTGTGATGCCTGAACCCAGGCGTGACTTCAATTTAGGTATTTCTTAATAAGAATATCCTGGAGGAAAAGTGGGTTTTGTACGGTAGAACTACACCTTCCTGCTTAAAATAAAAACTCCAAGTGATTGTATTTGAAGGTTTCATTTTGCCTAGTGCGGAGCAGTCAAATGGAGTGAAAACCACCCTCTTTCTGGCAAGAACCCTGAATTTCCACAGCTGTTACTGGGAGTACCCAAAGCCTTTCAGTGTTGACAGTTTACTTTAAAGCTCTTTGGCTCATCCCACCAGTCTCCACCAGATGAACTAAACAAAGCACCTGGCCCAGATATTTCCAAGGGGCAGCCAAGAGGAAATGCCTTCCCAAGTCAGTTTTAAAGTTCATGCCATGAGTGAAAGCTCCTTGAGGATTAGAGTGCAGTGAGTAGGAATTCATCATTTTATCAGGTCAACATGATGTTCAACACGGGCTGGAGGTTCCTCAGGGAGAATAGGTGGGGGGGACATCTGCTAATTACATCATAGGCTACATTAAAGGTGCAGCTCTGAATTACAGAGTGGGTTAATAATCCTCATCATCAGTCATAATCATCATTGTCACCGCATTGCTGCAGCTGCTTGGCCCCAGTTTTTCAGGCAGATGCTGGATAGCCATAGCTCACCTACTGACTGTCCAGTTTAAGACATTGAGAATAGGCTTTCACTGAAATCAGCCCATTTTTGATTGTTATCACTCCTTCCCTGTTCAAGTGCTTGTGATCTGACTGTGACCACAGTGTGTTTGCCCTTCCTATGTATGCACAACATAGTTTGAAGTAAGGAGATTGCATCGTGACCTGTTCTTAAGGAGTTCACCTATTTGCTGTTCCTGATACAAGCCACCTTATATAGAAGTCAGTGATGTGTCACTTTGGATACATCAAGACACATCAAGAACCTCTTTAAATGGAGAAGTAATTAAAGAAACATAGATGGACAGATGGATAAAATAGGATGCTAATGAGGGGTCCAGCTCAAAACTCTCAACCTCTATGACATACAGAAAAGGGCTGAAGAATGGGAAGTCAAGGAGTTTCCAAGCTATGGGAAGACAAGGATTTTCCAAGCTATAGGAAATTTGGACATCAGATTTCCCTCCACTGTGATGAAAAGTCAAAGTTTGGACAGGGAAGTGGTGCTGCTGCAACAGCCTCACTGCTGGCCAGATCTGAAGCATCTTAGAGGTACCCAGAGCCCGAACCCCATTGATAGCATTGATGAGTCAGTGTACCAGACCCACACATTTTGATGTTCATTGTGGATATTTTGTCAAAACCAACCTTTTGTCACTGAGAAAGGTTGTGAGATTGGGACATTATTTCCATTCTAATGTTTTACCCAAGGGGCTTGGCCAGAACTTTTATGAGTCTCTGTGTAAAGCTTTATAAATGTACTGAAATGGTGGCCTACCTTCAGCTGAGAGTTCTGACATGCAGTACGGTGGACCCCGAACAACCACTTCTTGTAGGATGATGGCAAAGCTGTAAATGTCCCCTTTGAACGTGCCCTTTCTGCGCATGTCTGGGTCCCTCAGCAGCTCAGGAGCTGTCCAGAGCAACTCTAAAAGATGCAGGAGCATCAGGTTTCTTACATGCCAGCTCAGACTATGGCAAATTAGGTGCTTAAAGGAACACTTCATTTCAGTCATATGAGGAAAGGCTGGAACATACTTCATTATTTACTGGATCAAGTCCTCTATTTCTTGTGAGGTCTTAGAAATCCTAAACTTCCATCCTGATGAAACATTTGGATTTTCCAGATTTCACTCTATGTTCTAGAAATCTATTGATATACAATGACTTATATGCTATAACACCAGCCCTGAACTTCAACGTAAAATATCTTCTCACCATTGCCAAAAGCTTCAACATATTTTATTGCTTGAAAACATCACTCAGACAAAACTTTGGCACTGAAGCCTGGATTTCTCGCCTCTGTTGTTGCTCTTCCACAAAGCAACACTTCATAAAATATTTTCTGTAGTTCTTCTTAGATGGAAGTGGTTTCTGTAAAAGCAGTTTGTGGCAGTCTGAAGCACAATCAGTCTTTATAATCCCATGGTTCAAGTGGTGAAAGGCACAGTTGTAAAACATACCCAGCTTCATCAAGAAATAAATCTCCTTCAGACTGGGATATTGTTACCCAGGTAACTGTGCATTGAGAGTAATGGGAATAAGAAACATTTCAGCTACTACAATATATATCACTTTTGTAAAGGAGGAGGAGAAAGTCTTCTGGCAACTGTCCTATCTGAGACACTGGAAATGTGTAGGAACCAAATCCTGAGACAGAGGGATTGGAACACTACATACTACTTGAAACCAGGTTTCAAGAATGAACTGGGATACCAGAGGAACCCCAAAGCAATGGCCAGGTGAAAGAAAACCTGTCCAATTCTCCAAACCTGGTGCCATGAAATGCTGTCTTAAGTGGTGGGAATGTCATTGAGCAGCCTTTGGCATTGGACCTATTTCAAAGAGACCTGTATCATCTTGTGTCTCAGACAGCTTAATTTTACAAAACAGATCTCTTCGTATTTAGGTTAACCTAAAACTTCAAATACAGGGTTTGGGCTAGGGATGTAAAGCCAGTTCTACCAGTCACAGATATTCAGGTTTTATCAGATTTCAGGGGCACTTAAGTCCTTTTCCAAATCCAACAAGCTTAAGTTCTGTCACTGCTTGCAATAAAATCCTTTTTCCTTGCCATGACACTCTGCTATTCACTTCACTTTCAGGAAGTCTGAAAAAAGCTTTGCTTGTCCTTTCCTGTAACAATGCATTTTATACAGGTAACTAGATGTTGTGAGACTGAGCACATAAAATCCTTATTTGGCGACTGGCCTGCAATTGCATTAGGACGTGTTAAATCAATAGATGAATATATCTAAACCAAATATTTCATTATGGCACCTACCTTCTGGGGGCGGCTGAATATATGGGCATTTCTGTGCTTCTAAGAGCTCATTATAACCATAGTCAGTTATCTTCAACACAAAGCGGCCATCCACAACACAGTTACGAGACTTGAGACGTCCATGGGCAAAATCTCTGTGATGCAAATACCTAATTCCCTATGAAACACAGAAAAGATCAAGGCTATTCCTTAAGAATGATATTATCCATCTATCCATCAGCATTCAGAGACAGAAGACCAAATTGTCACCCTATACAGCATCATAAACAGCATTGACTCTGTCAGATGCAGTCCTGATCAATGCAAGAAACTATGGGAAAAGTTTAGAAGTGGATAAGGAATCAGAATTAGGTTCACTGCACCTGAAGTAATACTGGAAAGGACTTCAGGAATAGTCAAATGTCTCCGTCTATAGCCCTAGGACTCATTGCACTTGAAAGTTGTACTTTGAGACAAGGTTAAGAGGGTGGGCACAAGTGGTACTCAATGGCTAGGTCAAGGGAAGCCATTAAGAGCCTGATGCCCTTACCCAGCTCCCTCAAGGAGGATAAGAAGGTTCATCATGGGCTGTAAGAACGATGCTGGCAGTCTACCGTCTGTAGGCCACCTGTCCCAAATTGGTAGTTCACCATTAGGGGGATAAAAACATATGGGAGATGTTTGAAAGTGTGTGAACACTCTTTTGAAGTGACCGTATGTGCAGCCATAATGTTGCAGAGGATGGATGTGATTTGATTCTATGCTGGATGTATTTTTTATTTATGACAAGAAGGAGCCTTTGGTACTTATGAATTTGTCACCAATTTCTGTGTTCTAAGTGATCACTTCTAGCCTGATGTGTAATTTTAACCTCTTATCCTGCTGCTTGGATATAGCCCTATTATCCCAAATAGTGCTTTTCTCAGATGGTAACAAAAGAAGACCAAGAGGTCTCCATTAAAGACCCTGTATACCAGTACAATTACACTCACACTGGTTTTCCCTGCATTACTATAACAATCCCAAAGTCCTGGATAAAGTAGCTATGTCAATGTAAAAGTCACATGCAGGTCCTGCCTCAGCAGTAGCAATGGATTTACTTTGATTAGATCCATGACAAGAGAGGACTTGAACATCCAATCCAGCTTCATATCTTCATTCCTCAGCAAGTCCTCCAGGCTTCCTCGGGAGCAGTACTCTGTCACTATGGCAAAGATGCCACAGTCAGAGAAAAAGCCCAGGAACAGATTCACATTTTCATGGCGTAGATGTTTCATCTGAAACAAGACAGGGGATCACAGCAAGACCGAGTCAGACAGATGCCTTTTGCTCTTAATATCTAGTTCTTTATATCATTAGATGTCATTATCGTTGTACTACCAAATAGTTCTGCACAAACTGGAGAAGAAAATGTCTTTGGTACTTACTTTCAACTATCTTATATCTAAGCTTTCCTTTTCTTAGTCTATCCATTAAGACAAAGAAAGCAAGACATCAAAAGCAAACTGAAGAGAAATTTGTTTAAGACAAGCTGGATTGGATCTTCCACTAGGACAAAATGGCTTCAACTGGGGTAAACTGGGTTTAGCACATGGAGTCGTGCTCCAGCTTTGGTATGGTCTGGAAAGTAACACCACGCCTGGAGGATCCAAAGGCATCCATCAGTGTTGCCTTTGGAAACATGCCCTACTAAATCTATTTATATACATAAAAATGCCACTACCATGTTAGCAGTAGCTGCCAACGACTAATGGCCTTGAATTTGGAAAATAAATATATTTGCTTGTCATTTAGTTATAATAATAAAATTGAAAACTAAAAGTAAAACTTCTAAGAAACATCTTAGCTGGAGACATAAAAATCCCAGAGAAATGCACAACCATGCTTGTGCCACACTGGCAACTAAGAGCACATGAAAACAGCTACCAGTGCATCACCCTGCCCTGACACAGGCAGGGATGATTCCCTCCAAACTGCTCTGCTTTTGCAGACAAGCTCACTTAAAGGCCTCATTGTCCGTTCAGCATTGCACCAGCTTTGACATGGGTAGGTCCAGGGTGGGTGCTCTGCAAGCTGCTGCCTATGACACGTGGGTCATTGGTAAGTCAAATGCAATCATGCGTGGTCTGTTCCACCAGATTTCACAGGGCAAGACTCACAGACAGCCATGATGTTTGATTCAGTGAATAAACAGGAGATAAAGAGAACAACAACATGCTGCAGTCACCAAAAGTCAAGTCCAAGGTTACGCTGGGCAGACCCATGGGCGATATGGTCTAGTGTGAGGCGTCCCTGCCCATAGCAGGAAGTAGGAACTGGATGAGCTGAAGGTCCTTTCTAACTCAAACCATTCTATGATTCTATGAGAAGTCCCCCAAGCAACCTTCCCTCCACACACCCCATCATCCCCTGTTCCTACCTTCCTCAAGATGCTTGTGGAGCTTTGCCGCAGATGGTGAGCTGCTCCCCTCTCGAACTTTTTCAGCCATACCCAGTCTCCCTGTCCACAATACAATGGGTGAATGATAGAGGAAGTCTTTGAGCAGCAGCTAGTACTGGGACTTGGGTGTGAATTTCAGATCCTTCACTTTGAAAGTGGTTGGGGATTTTCAGTGTTCTTGGCAGTGGATGCTTTCTATACTGCACCCAAATAAGAATATCCACAGCAAACCCTCAAAAAAATGGGGCAAGGCAGGACCTTCATCTGGATTAGAACTTCTTACATGGAAGGTGCATTTGTATCTGATAAACAATGATAAATTGATTAAAAGGTTGCCCAGAGAAGCTGTGGCTGCCCCATCCCTGGCAGTGTTCAAGGCCAGGTTGGACACAGGGGCTTGGAGCAAGCTGCTCTAGTGGAAGGGGTCCCTGCCCATGGCAGGGATTGGACCTGGGTGAGCTTTAAGGTCCCTTCCAACACAAACCAGTCTGTGATCCTGTGATAAAGGAAAGTAACTGTCTCCAGAGCTTCTCTCTGACATCAATGATCCAGTTTATTTTGCTCTTTTTCAGGAAAAATTGACAAGCCATTTTCTTCCAAAAGCTGCATTTTTAGGAAAGAACTGATGGATGGGGTGAGTTTTCTTGGCCATTGCCTCTGCTTAAACACTTTACAGTCTTATTGGCACAAAGGGGAATTTGCTACCCTTTATTCTGTGTGTTTGGATTCTTGCCTTGTAAGAAAGGTCCTTGCTGGAGATGTTACCACCTAAAGCTTGTTTTGTAAGAAAGATGCTTCACGGTGCCTTTAGGTGGTGATACCTCTAATAAGGACCAGACCTGGAAATGCTACAGATGGATGTTGAATACCATCACCCCACATGCCTCCAGGTATGAGGGTGAGGGCTGAAGTAGAGTCACCTTAAACACTGCTTGAGGGTAACTCATTTTCACCCTTAAGGTCCATCAGCAGCATTCCCATGCTGGGACCTACAGTACTGCAGCCCAAGACTTCCCTCCCTTGAGCAGCTCAGTGGACAGTAGTGGTGGGAGAAGGCTGCCTGAGGTCCTTACCTACCTCATACAGAGCCACGTTGGAGGTTTCATAGGTGGCAGCTTCACTCTTCAAGGAGGAGGAGCGGGTTACGGATTTCAGGCTTCTGCCATCTGCTGCTATGCTGTTTGCTTCAGTCAGACTGTCCAAAGTCATCCTCTGAAGGCAAGAAAAGCAGGTGTAGGACAGTTACCACCTCTGGATGTAACCCTCTCCTCCAGCTCTGCCTCTGGCCATACATTCACCCATGCTAGCAGCCTCCTGAACTTCCCATCTCACCCCTCTCAATACCTCTACAGGTCAGCCCTATGAGGCTGAAACACTACAGGAGCACTTCAGGTGATGGAAATGCTGTGGACTGGGGGAAATAGCAGACAAGGCAGGTGTCACTCTGAATAAGGCACAGGGAAGTGTCTCCTTTGGCATAGGCAAGAAGCCTGAATCTGCGGCAGTGACCTAGGCAAAGGGATTGCTCCACAGCAGTCTGTATCATTGGCATGGTCCTCCTCTGTGCCAAGTAACACCCTCCCAGGAGATGCCCAGCTCTGGGCAGGAGCCAGCACAGGCCAGGAATGGTTCCAGATAAGTAATTCAGATGCAGACACTCTGCTTTAGAGGGCAAGATGGTTTAGCTGTATGGACATGAGCTATGCTGCACCATTCAACCTCAAGAACAAAGAATAGGGGCTGGTTGGTAGAATAAAAGCAATCAAGGGAATTATTTTACATCATCATAACAGCTCTGACATTGCATGTGCATCTAATCTGAGACTCAAAAGCACTCTGCATATAGGAAATCTTCTGATATACAGGGGAAAATGAGACATGGAGAAGTGAAGAACTTTACCAGAGCTTCTTGGGTATGAAAATACCAAACAGCAAACCTGGTTTTGAGGGTCCCACCAGGTTACTTACAGGAGTTGAAGGACTTACCTTCTTCTGTAGCTCAGGGTTGATGAAGACGAGGTCATCCAAGGTCAGTATGATCTTGTTAGGTCCCCTGAATAGCTGGCTGTTCAAGATACTGTGCCTGAAAGATTTGGTAAGTCACAGTTAACATCTGTAGGTAGTGACCAGTTTACACCACCTCTAAGTCCCCCACATCTGCCTTCCCTCAGTATTAAGTGGCAGTGGGGATGGGCATGGGCGAAAGCAATAGGCAAATTATGATGCCCTGACTTGCACCAAATCCCTCTGAGTGAAGGGTTATCCAATTCACACACTACAAAAGCTATAATCTCAAAGGGTCAAATAGATGCCTTGAGTTAATCTGGTTACAAATATGAATCAGATGTGTAGGTAATGCTTACTTTGCTTTGCTCAGTTTTACTTTTCCTAACCCAAATTATTCTTCATTAGGAAAGAATAATAAGTTTTATTAGAGCAGCCAATGTGCCTGGTGGCAAACAGCTCTCAGGCACACCAGCTTTTCTTAGGAACTGAAACCAAACCACAGGTAACTTATAAAAGCAGCCTGAAAACAAGTTACCATCAAAATACGCTGGTTAAATCTCTATATTGTACCATGGTAAAGTAATGCACACAGCAAAATACCTCCTTGTAATGACTGCCAGCTCATAAAAAGGGAAAGCTACAGGGGATGAGCAGTTTGCTGTGCATAGTATAGTGCAATGTAGCCTGGGGTCTTAGAAACAGTATTGCTGAACCAGTGCTCTTTGTCTTGGTCAGGAGTAATTAGATCAAGAAGACTGTGCTGATTCAGACCTACTTCTTCCAGGACCTGAGCCAGATGGGATGGCTACCACGCACTGTGTAACACAGGACAAATGTGCTCCTGGCATCTCCACAGGATGCTGTGCCCATTTTCCAAGGGATGACTCTCTGATTCCTTGATAGACTATTAGATCTGCAGAATTGCCACAGGCAAGAAAGTTCAGTATAGCTATCAGACCAGCAAAGACACTACCTGTTGCTTGACTGCATCCTTCTACTTTCTCAGCTTCTCTTTAATTGGCAAGGCAGAAGAAACCACAAGAAATGGTGCGTTGTCAAGGACTGCATTCATGGCATGGTTTAAACAGACTGATGTCCACTTCATGCAAATCATTACTGAACATTCCAGAGTTCCTTTGTTAGTTTTTAGCTGAAATACATCTGACACTAATACCCAACACATGGCTATTCTAGGGACTCATGGAAGAGTCAGAATTCACACGCCATCATTCTGAACCCACTGTTTCAGTGGATGTCAAGGTTTAACACTGAACACAAAGCACACTACATGTATTAGACAGTCAGAAACTCATCAGGCAGGAACAGAGAGAAGGCAAATGAAAGCTCCTCCATTGCTCTCCACGTCATTTTTTTGTGTAAGGAACTTTGGTTACAGTATAGTACATCTGATCTGCACACACCTAAGATTTTTCCTGATGAAAAGGGTGCCTTTTGCTGGCTGCTCTAGAGGGAATCCAGTAAAATATCCATACATCACCACAATTCACTTTTCTAACCTATGTGTCACTCTGGGCATTTTATAAGAGTACAGGCAGCTTTTTGGAGTCCAAGAGTCTTGGCCACATAATCACAGGCATCACTTGGGGCGATTTTGTTATCCTTTCTCTAACCACCTTGCCACCCATCTTATCTTCATGGAAAAACCTCATCACCTATGTACCTTTCACTTATCCACCTGAAAACCTTGCTTGGTCAATCACATCATCTCCCCCAAACGTGGAGGAAAGCATCCCTCTGCCAAAAGCAAAGCGCAGATTGTGGAGCAATTCACTTAAGGTCATGCAGCAGATCCCTGGCAGGCCTAAGACCAGAGCTCCCACATTTGAACTCAGACCATGCTGTGGTTTAAATTTAGTTCCAGACATGCCCTTCCCTCACATAAATCATTGTCTGAGTCATGCCAGACTTCTTTTCTTCCCTTGCAGACAGCCATACATCTTTATTCACTACTGAGCCTTCCCAAGAACAGTCTGGTACTTGTGGAACAGCTTACAAGTAAAGTAGGCAGAAAGATTGTCTTCTATTTACTTAATTGTTGAGGCTGGTGGCCAAAGGAATAGAGCAGGGTTTTAAAGTGCAGATGGATGGAGCAACCTCCTCAGTGCCTGCAATTAAAAGATATCAGAAGCAGCTGTGTGTCATAAGGGAGAAAGCTGTTTGGGGTGTTGCTTGCTGGGTGGCCTGATATCATCTGTGTTAGGAAGGATGATTCAGAAGTGGAAGGAAAACACATTCTGGGAAGATCTGAGAGGCAAAGCTGTATGGGACAGTCCAGGAACTTTGTTCTGCTGAACTCAGTGCTGCTGAGTAAATATGCCTTCTAATTTCACTCTAATTTCACTCTAATTTCAGTCGTGTACCATGTAGACATCAATAATGGGAGACAGATTACTCCAAAGGCTATTTTGGAGCAGATTACTTTAGGTTATGGCCATAGTGGCCTTGCTAAAGAGCAACCCATAGCTCCTGGACCAGCTAGGTCTTGCTGGATTATGTCTACCTTGGGTATAGAGTCAGGACACAGATGTGACCTATGCAATAGTTTCAAACTGTCCCTTCCCAAGCTTCATTTGCTCCACAGATCCCATGCCCAGAATAATATAGATGCACTGTGGATGACCAGGGAGCTGGATTCCAGACCATAACAGGGAGTGAATCAGCTTGGTAATAAAGAGGTATTCTAATTAATTGCTCCAAACCCTCTCCAGAGATGTTCTTTTCCTCTTTAATACATGGAGAAAGTAAAGAGGGTCAGCCTAGGTGCTCCATGGAAAACAGGATTATATTAGGGACAGAAATCCAATCAAGAGTGATCCGGGTAAGGAAAAGACATTTAACATGGCAGCCCACTCAGTTTCTACCCCAATGTTCTCAAAGCAGATTCCTGTCTTTGGTTTGTGTGGCGTACTTTGCACTTCCAAAGTGATAGCCACCTTCTTAATGCTTCAGAGCCATCATCTAGCTAATCCTCCCAGGAACAGACTGCAATCCTCTTCCAAACCTGGACTGGTTTAAGGGTACAGTGGCTGCTCCTGAGACTGCAGAACCAATTCCCACAGTGCTCAGGCCACTATCACTTAATAAAGTTGAATTGGGTTTGTGTTTGGAGCAGAGGAAGAGTGTGAGGATCCTTCCCTGGGGAGGAAGTAGCTGCAGAAACAATGTGTGATGAGCTGATCACAACCCTGTCCCCCTGCACCGCTGGTGGGGAGGAGGTAGAGAGTTCAGGAGTGAAGTTGAGCCTAGAAAGAGCAAAGGGTGGGGAGAAGGTGTTCTACGATTTGGTTTTATTTCTCATTATCCTACTCTGATTTGATTGGTAATCAATTAAACTGACTTCCCCAATGACCACAACCAAGCCTGCTATGAGTTCACAAACTAAACTGCTGGCTAAAGCCTCCTGCAGAAACTAGAAGTGACACCAAACCAAAGAAGTCCTGCAGTTCTCACCTGATAAGAGAAGCCAGGCCCATAGCAAGAAGCACCAGGCCAAATATCACCATTACTCCCAAAATGATGACTGTAGGCTCAATTCCTGTGCAAAAAGGGGAAAAGAAACAGTGAATTAGAAAATCCCTTTCACTTAGGCAATAATATCACACGTATATCAGTATCAGACCATTTGACTACAAAGTCAAATATTCAGCTGGGAGAATGATAGAAAACAGGTGTTTTGATGAGAAACTTCACGTGAGAAGGACATGGAGCTGTTGGAGCAAGTCCAGAGGAGGCCACGAGGATGAGCAGGGGCTGGAGCAGCTCCTGTATGGAGACAGGCTGAGAAAGTTGGGGCTGTTGAGCCTGGAGAAGAGAAGCTGCGTGGAGACCTCAGAGCAGCTTCCAGTGTCTGAAGGGGGCTACAAGGATGCTGGGGAGGGACTCTTCATCAGGGACTGTAGTGATAGGACAAGGGGCGATGGGTTCAAACTGAAACAGGGGAAGTTCAGATTGGATATAGGGCAGAAGTTCTTTACTGTGAGGGTGCTGAGGCACTGGAATGGGTTGCCCAGGGAAGCTGCGAATGCTCCATCCCTGTCAGTGTTCAAGGCCAGGTTGGACAGAGCCTTGGGTGAGATGGTTTAGTGTGAGGTGCCCCTGCCCATGTGAGGGGGGTTGAAACTGGATGATCCTAAGGTCCTTTCCCACCCAAACCATTCTGTGATCCTATGACTTCAAGTACTGTAATTCTGTGTCTCCATGCACTCTTTACTATACCAGCCATGGAGCCCTGAATCAGTGGGAAAACAGCTTTTTCTTCAAATAAATAAAGCCTGGACTCATAGGGAAGTACTTGCTTTAGAGGCAGCTTCTGCAAAGTTCATAACTCCTCAACATTTGACCTTCTTCTCTCCAGGAACTGAAAGGCTGAAAAATCTTTATCATGTGAGTCACCAGCCCATCTGGGGTTTTTCATTCCCTGCCACACTTTTCTAACGCTGGAAAGAGCAGAAAAGGAGGAGGAGAAGGTCGATGTTTTCCTCAATGGGCCCATCGACAGGGAGCACTGGAGATGGATAGTTTGCTCATGAGTGTATTTGTTAGAGAGCTAAGGAATGCCGACATGAGTGGATGAGTAAATTCCAGTGGGAATTCTTTCCTGTCTCTGCCTCTTCTGTCTTCGTATATTTCTACTTTGTCTGTATTCAGAGATCCTTAAACACAGGTGAGCATGGAGAAATTTGGGTTGATAAAAGGTTCATAACTCTGTGTCACACTTGTGCCTGAATCACACACCTTTTATCAAGCACTGAAACCTAGAGCTCCCCAGCAGAAAAACAGCATTTTTGAAAGTGTGTGTCCTTTTCAGGAAAAAAAGAGAGCATTTTAGCTGTAGTTTTTCTGCCTGCTTTGGAAAAACTTTGAGCTTCAGCCCAGGGCCCCAGTCCCTGCCTGTTCTCACACATACACCGGCACAGGATGCCCAGAGAACTGTGGCTGCCCCATCCCTGGCAGTGCTCAAGGGGCTTGGAGCAAGCTGCTCTAGTGGAAGGTGTCCCTGCCTGTGGCAGGGGTTGGAACTGGATGAGCTTTAAGGTCCCTTCCAACACAAACCAGTCTGGGATTCTACGATACTAAGATTCAAGATAAGAAGTCACTGCTTTCATACTCCAGCCTGTATAGTCCTGTACACCTCCTTCTGAGAAGGAATCTGGCCATAGTAGGGTGGATACTTCATACCCATTTCTCAGCTTCCCAGACAATGTGGATGTGTGCCCTGGGTTCAGCACTAGCAGGCATTTTTCTCCTTCTTAATAGCTGGTGCAGCACTGTGTTATTGACTTTCGGCCTGGGAACAGTGCTGATAACACCGGTGTTTTCAGTTGCTGCTCAGTAATGTTTACTCTGACCAAGGACTTTGTGAGTCTCATGCTCTGCCAGGGAGGAGGGGAAGCAGGGAAGAAGCAGAGACAGGACACCTGACCCAAACTAGCCAAAGGGGTATTCCATACCACAGCACATCATGACCAGTGCATAAACAGGGGGCAGTTACCTGGCAGGGCTGGATCACTGCTCGGTTAGGCTGGGTATCGGTTGGCGGGTGGTGAGCGGCTGTATTCTCTTCCCTTGTTATTTCCCTTATCATTATTATTGGTGGTAGCAGCAGTGGTTTGTGTTATACCTTAGTTACTGCACTGTTCCTATCTCAACCCATGGGAGCTTCTTTCGATTCTCCTCCCCATCCCTCCAGGAGCAGGGGGAGGAAGGGAGCTGGGTGAGCGAGCAGCTGCGTGGTTCCAGGTTGCTGGCTGAGCTTAAACCACCACAATGTGGAACAAGGATTCACTTCACCAAAGTGCAATGGAGACACAGCCAGTTCTCTCCAGGAATAGCTTTCACCTTGAATATAGGAATGAGCAACACCACACCAAGGTGGACTGGAAGACATGGTTTGTTCTTCATGCATGGAGAAAGTCAAGTGTTGCTGTCCCCAAAAGAGCAAGTGACAGCAACCCAATGTTCACCCCTAGGAGGCAAGGGAGCTGCCAAAGATGTGCCCCCCTCCAAAAGGACTGGTGTGAGTATGAAGCCAGAACACAACCCATAAAGGTCTTGCACAGTGTTAAATCCATGGACAAGGAAGGACTGGATCAGTTTAGGAGAGATTTGCAGGAAGCCTAGTGCTCTGGTGCTGTGATTGCCTGTTTCCTGCTAGGAAATCTGTTATTAAAGAGAGAATGAGCTTAGAATAGTCCAGTCACAGTGGCATACGTTGGTTTATTTGCTGGACCAAGAAGTAAATGCCTCCTGGACAAACCAGTGATGAAGTGCAGCGGTATGAAAATCCCATCTCACATCTCTGCATGGCCTTCTAACACTTTCATAGAGAATCTGTGGTAGGAATAATGTGGGGTTTGTTAATGCTCCCTATTGTATTCCATCAGGGTTTTTTACTGGTCCTGTCTCCTGAGCTTCCTCAGGTAGCTCCCAGAGACCCTACTGTCTGAACAAATCTCCTTTGACAAAGAACCTGGGAGAAATTCTTCTGCTTATTCACACTGCGTATGATAACCCACAAGAGTCTGGCCACACTTTAGAGGACTCTAAGGCAATGTGGTACTTGAAAGGCAGCGCAGAACCCCAAAGAATAGCAAATGGTGTCTCTCTGAGCACGTCCTTTGCTGAAGCAGGGGCACAGTTACACATCAGGGCATGAGGAAACACAGCTGGAAAATGTCCAAAGCCCATCCAATTTCATTCAGTGACACAGCATCTGATAAACTGAGATTGAGAGCTGGTTGGAGCACAGCATTCACTGGGATGAATGAGAGACAATAAAAGGACAAGAGGAGTAAATAAATAAACACCCTGATAAGCAAACCTGAAGGAATAGGAGAGAGTGAAGACAATACCAAAGACCACAGAGTTCATGTCAGTGATGGATGGGCCATTGCAGAGACCATGCAAAGCCTTGAGGAAGCTCCACAAGAACTTTATAACTAATCAGAAGGGAAAGGAAGCTTATGATGGGAAAGAGCATGTTTAGAGAATACTTTAGGGCACTTGTAGGATTGTGTTAAACTCATGAGGGGATGCTTTAAGTGAGCTGTAGGAAGGGGACTTCCTCTAAATCTCCCATAAGAAGTATGTGAAAATTCATATGGGACTTTTAGAGGAAAAGATGAAAATGGGGAAAGGGGGGGGATATAGGTAGGTTGGGGATGCTCAAGCATGAAATACTGGAGAGGATGTGGATGCTGGTCACACATATGTTGTGCATTTTTGCAGCCAAACCATGCCATCTGATCACGGCAGTCTGCCCTACCTTCTTCTTAACCCCTATGGCTATTTCTTGTTCTGTGTGAGTGTGCTTATTGCCTGTGTGTGATGTTTGTAGACTTCACATCAACCTAGCCAACAGGTAAGATAAGGAGTCCTGAAGCCTATGACCCATCAGAGAACACAAGACTGGAGACCAGCTCCTGCAGAGACCAAAGGGTTGAGAGCTGGCTATGGGGGAATTACAGGTTTGGACCATCTACCAATGGTATGTACATCTGCACCTGTATGTGTGTAGGAGCTGGGGTTGTGAGATATGGAAGCAAGCTTGGAGCCTGATTACGTGGTGCATAAGAACAGGATGATGCCATTTGTGTTGTCCATGTCTCGACAATGCTGGTTGTGGGTAGTGGTGGCTGTAAACACATTGCTTTCCTGTATATGTTACTCTGTTGGGGACTGGCTCTGTGTGTGTGTGTCTGTAAGTGTACATGTACTGGAAACAGCCTGCTCCTGATAGACTTGGGTCAGGAACCACAGCAGCCTGGCAGCTTCACATCCAACCAGTCTCCAACGTTAACTCCATACAAAAGGCAGACTGAGGCCTGGATTTAATTCTAGTCATAAAATTCAGTCTCTGAAATATTAGTAATAATAATAAATTACCACTCCACTGAAAATGCCTTGAGCTTTACGCTTCTGTAAAAGTGTGACCATAAAATCTGATCTCTAAGAAGCAGTGATTATTCCATAGACAGCAATGGGATGATAAATTGCTACTCCAGTCCTAGTTGTAGTGCAAAATTAGATATACGATAGCATCATATTTGTCTCTCCTATAGCTTGCCAGCTGCTGTGAGATCAGTGTATCTCCAATTTTCATGGAGCAATGCTGATTTAAACCAGTTATGGCTGAGCCAAGGGGAAAGATTTTCACAGCTGCTGCATTAAATATTGTGTAGATGAGGTTAATTTTCTCTGTTTAAGTCATATCCTGGAGCAGTAGGAGTAAATGCTCAGCATTATATGTAAATATGTCAAGTGGAGGCTAAGTATCCTCCTCTGAGATGCTGGGCTCCCTGTGGATTTTAAAACTGCACCATAGTTGCCTCAAATTAAAAACAATAAGTAAAACCAGTGCCCAGCCTTGCAAACCTAGGAGGAAGCAGTTATCTCTGCCCTTAGGTCTTCAATTACCACCTCTGCTATCTACAAGTAACTCTAATTATTTTGAGTAATGATCATCATCTTTTCTTGATGAGGTGAGCTCTGATGATCCTTAAAGCTGCAGAGCTGACTGGGTAAAGAAGCTGGGGTTAAACCAGGAGAGATGGTGAGAGCATCTACTGCTGTGAAGCACTTAGGCTGTCTTCAAATCCTCTTAGTGCCCTGTCCCTCAGAAGGACATGGACGCAGTGCTGGGTGGAGTCTTTGGCATGTATTGATTGCTATCAACATATCCAGATGTTGGTTGTCAGACCTGGAAAACCCTTTCCAGCACACAACAGTGGCTACAACCTTGTAGAATCATAGAATATGAACCTAACAAGCAATACGAGAGTCTTGTGGAGCAACAGTGGGTTCTCTGCATAGAACTCCCATTACAAACAGCATGATGACTGGTCATCTTTATAGTCATTTATTGAGTTTAGATGTTTCTCTTTGGGGGGCTCTAATTTAAAGGGGTAATAAGAGAAAAGATGAAAGAAATAAGCTGCATTGACCCAATGCCGTTCAACCCTGCTTTTATGTCCAGCTTACCTCCAGTGCAGAGAACATCTGGATCAAACCAACAGCTGGAGTCTGGCTTGGGTAGAGTTTCTCTGGGGAAGTGGATGTCCCGACCTAAGGACATCACAGAGTCTGAAGACATATCCAGCAAGTGGGTTGGGAAGAGCTGGTTCCCATGACCATCTGTGTCCAGTATCACGTAGTTGCTCAGCCCTTTCCCACAGTGGTCTGTCTCTACCTGGTGACTAAATCCAAGGAAACTCAAGTTTTTTGTGTGCTGAGCTATGTTAGCTCCTGAGACACTGGCTCCTTTCCTCCGAGCACTGTCAATAGCCATTGCCATGAAGTAAAAACCATCATAGATTGTCCCAAAAAGAGGAGAAACCTGGAAATACAGGAGAAATTGAGGTCAGGATGTTGACAGCCTCTGATTTGAAACTTGTGGCAAAATAACGTCCCACTGGTTAAGCTGCAAACTCAGGAACTGAGACCTCTGAGCATTAAGAGCTCACAGAGTAATGGGTTTGAAGAACCTTAGATTGAAGGTGGCTTGTGGGAGCTATTGGGGTTGACCCTATCTATGTGTGACTTTGAATATCTGTCTTTTCTTATGGTTGCTTCCCAAAATAGATTTTCAAACTGTTTTTAAACCCATGTAAAATTGCTTTATGAAGGGAAGAACCAAGACTCTGAACCTGATGATCAGCTGGCATTTTAGCACAACCTGCCTCAAAGAACTATGTTAAAACATCTTCTACAGATAGAAGATCAAAGTCAGAGGCTCGCCTCCCTACCCAGATAGGAAAAGTGTTATACCCAAAGGACTGGTCCTCTTTGCCAGCACACTGTTTATTCCTAAAATGTAGAAATCACAAAGCAGATCCACGGCAAACTCATTCTCAGGGGTACCACAGCCTTTTCTCCTCATATTGCTCCTTTCCATGCTGGATTTGATTTTAGGAACCTATAACTTTCCCCTCCCCTAAAACACACTCATGGTTTCCTTTCTAGTCACATGGTCATTCACAGTTGGCAGACGAACATTGATTACAGCCGTATACTCATGATATAATGAGGACTGCTGCTGGAAGCCATCGAATTTGACATCTGTGTTGGGATTCATTGATCAGAAGTAGACACCTTTAATGAAGAACCATAGACTCAATATAGTTAATCAGGGCTCTCATTAGAGTGAAGGAGAAGAAATGAATGTTTTCAAGGCATGATTCATCTCCTCCTAAAGTAGACATCCATGCAGATCTCATAAATCATGCCTTAAAAATACTTGGAATTTTTAAAAGAGCATAATGAGATAAAGCTCAGCTGAATCCTCCATCTTTTCTCAGATTTCCCAATTATTTTAATGCCTATAAGGTAGCAACTGACTTGTTTTTTCATAGGATTCTAGTGACATTTTGATAATTGTGCTGACAAAGAATGACTTTGACAGTAGTTTTAAGAAGAATGAGGCAGCAGCCATCCTAACCATTTCCCTCAAAAGCATTCAATATTCCTTTTGTCTGTTGCATCCACCCAGATTCTCAGGCATGCTGACATCTTATTATGGCTCCTTACAAACTCTATGGTCTTTATCCACCTTAGGAGACACCTCTTCAACTTGGGCCTGCAGCAGTTAGCATGTAGCAAACCAAATATGAGAGCCTCAGAGACAACCCCTTTCTCTTCAATTCCCATCATAGTCCTGCAGTTGAACCAGCTGTGACAGAATGCCAGCTATCCAGAAAAATTCTTCCAAATGAACTCAGTTCACATCCAAATTTCACCATATTCTTCCCAAAATAGAAGCATAGAGATTGGGTTATCTCTCTCCTGTACCTCCTCTATAACTATTGCTTGTCCCATGTCTCCTGTTGTCAGGTTCCAGAATAAAACAGAGAGAAAGAATATTTACCTGGGTGGCTTCCAAATCCCTGGTTATTTCACCGCTGATTTTGGCTTCCCTGAATGCATCATAGAAAGTCCTTTCTCCAGACTCCAGTGTGATAGTCAACACAGCATCGTATGCTTCCTGGAGCTTCTCGTCATTATCAAAGACACTGAATGAGTTGTTTTGGTACGGAAGACTGTACAGCAAAGTGTCGTATGGAACAAAGACGTATCTTCCATCTGCTAGTCCCATTTCCAGAGCTTTTGTGAGTAGGGTGGCCTGTTCCTCCCCTCCAATGAGCACAGAATGCATGCACAGGATTATAACTGAAACACAAGGATCACAGACAGTGTTGTTAATCCATTTGGGGTTTTCAATGCAAAATAGCTCCATACCTCCCCAGTAGAAAAGATGTCTGAATTGCTTATCAGGTCAGATTCTAGTGGTCCTATACCAGTGTTATGTGATGAGGAAGCTGGGTGCTACACCAGTTTTGTTCAACCTCTGGAGGACTGCAGTATCTAGCAAGGGAGGCTGTGAGCATCACCCAATCCTGGGGCCATACATAAGGAGAAAGGAAGAGAGATTTTGACAAAGGTGAGGCACAGGCTAACATAGAATGAATCATAGAATCATAGAATGGTTTGGGTTGGAAAGGACCTTATAATCACCTAGTTCCTACTCTGTGCCATGGGCAGGGGTGCCTCACATGATGGGTAGTTGTGGTCGTTGCTGTCATGGACTGAGAGATGGGAGCTTCCCCTTTGTGTGCCCTGAGCTGACAGACACCACACGCTTGTTAGTGCACAAACTCCACTCACTCACCCTGTCACCACGTGTACATAACATAGGACACTGTGTTATGTTTCAACATCTGGTCCATGCTTGGCTGTCCCAGAGTCTGTCTTTGCCTCCAAAATGCCATGGAGCCAATGTCTCCATGTCTGGTAAGGAGACAACGGGTGACTACAAAGAAGATGGAGACTCCCATTTAATAAGGAGTCCCATGGTAAAGACGAGGGGTGATGGGCACAAGTTACTCCTGGGGAGATTCCCACTGGGCACAAGAGGAAATTTTTCCCAAAGAGGACAATCAGCCCCTGGAATAATCTCCCCATGGAAGTGGTGACTCCCCAGCATTGGACACTGTTAAGACTGGGCTGGACAGAGTGTTGGACCAGATGATCCTTGAGATCCTTTCCAACCTGGTGTTCTATGATTCTGTGATCTGAAATACAGGTCTATCTATTTAACAGGCTTTCCAGCCTGCTTACTGGCCTTTCATGAAAGGAATCAGTCCTGATCTTTCATCCAAGACAGCATTTCAAAACTCAGTCAGTGAAAGGAGCAAAGTAGGGCAATGATGGGAAGCAAAGTTGCAAAAGAGACCTGCCTGCTACTAAACCAGGAGGGAGAGGATCTCTAGAGTAGCTGTGGTCTCTCCTTAGGAGAAAAACAATCCTTGGCAAAGCAGAAGCTGAAGTAAACAGGGATGTTTTTCAAGTTGCTGAATTACAGGTACTTCTAGACAGTGATTCACCCCATGCTATAGCAGAGAGCTTAAGATGGTCAGATGAATCATGTCTGATGAGGGACTGGTTCTCTCCATTGATTATGAAAGGAGTTTATCATCTCTAATTCACATGGAAAATGTGATGGTGATGAACCCACCCAAGGTGGATCTGGTCTCAAATACTGATTTGAGCACTGATACAACTCCGAGATAGCACCTTGCTACCCTTGTTTGTCATTGACATGAAATTCATAAAGTCTTGGTTAAAATGCATCCTCATCTAGATTCACAGTGCTGCAGAGGTGCACACCCAGCATCAGAGCTCCATCACAGACTCCCTAACAAGGCTCTGACCCAGAAAAACTTGTTTTCTCCCCTACATTTTCTCAACAGAAGATCATTCTTTACTATTTGAGGTAGATCAGCAAGGGCCCTTCCACTGCTTTAGTTTGTGCTGTATAGCAGTGGATTTCACTTCTGATACATCCCCTGAACACAGGTAGCAAGAACACAGCATCAAAGATTGAAATTTTTGATAATCCATAATCCAAAAAGCATAAATATAAAACCTTTCCCTAAATCCCTCTTTACAATCAATAGGGTCAAGAGCAGACACTCATCTACTAAAAACTATTTTTCCAAGCTGAACCCAGTCTTTCATGTTGTAGAAGACTACTTAGCCCTATGTCCATCACACACAAAATGCCCAGCATTCTTTTACTTGAAGCCCTGGCTCTGTTAAGGTCAGAGATAAAGTTCTTGCTTGACTTAAATGACTTCAAAACTTCATTCTCTAAGTTCTGCCCTTTGGATAACAATGCAGTCCTACCCCGGATAAAAGAAAATGAAGAAAGGAAGGAGACTCAAAACACTTACTTTTAATGTTGTCAACTTCTTTAACCTTGTTCCAAGTGTCTTCAATGCCTTTTTCTCCTGTATGCATGGGTATGACAATGCCTACAGGAAGACCCTGGTTCCTGAGTGCACTCGCTAGCTTGTTGGCTGTGTCCATCCAAATATCCTCGTTGGAAGCAATGATGCCAACATGAGCCCAGCTAAAATGTTTCATTACTGTAAACAAAACTCGGGTTGGAGAGGGCAGGGTCCTTGCAAATGTGGGGTGTTGGGTGGTGGAATCCAGTTTATAATTGATGCACGTCCATGAGAAGATGGCTTTATTCCAGTTTTCCCCTAAGAGTGTGGCCACCTCACAGAAGCCAGGGTTCAGAGGGCCTACGAAAGCGGAGGAAAGCTTTCCAAAGTCAATGAATTTAACCAGAGCTCTTGATGTCTCACATTCTTCTTCCAGGACCACATAATCCAGCCTGTGGCCAAGATCTAGTGAAGGATCTTTGGTTATTCGTTCCACTGCTAACCTGGCAGCCACGTGGGGCAAGGCTTTGGAAAAGAAGGGGTCACAGCTCCAGGGTCCAAGCAGTCCAATTTTAAAGACAGAACAACGTGCTGGAGAGCAAAGCAGGGTTATTCCCAACAGCAGCTGCCAGAGAGCCTGGGAAAATGTCTTGGATGAATTGCCAGTGTTGAACTTATGCAATCTAATGTGCCTTGACCAGAGCAAGCTGTTAGGACACAGTGGGAGCAATGACATTGTTTTACAGGTGGGTAGAGCTGCACTGAGTTCTTCGGGAAGCCAGGCAGTGCATTACCAGCAGCTGGAAGAAAAGTAGATTACATTTGCCTTCCGGCATACGTATTTGTCCAGTGCATGTACAGAGAGCTGAGTCAGCCCAAATTACACAACAGTTCTCAAGGTGCACGTCCATGTGCCAAAACCCTCCACAGACATGTGGACAAGGACTACGTAGACAAGTGTCCATCCAGTGTCAGTTAAACATAGCATAGCCCTTCAATGCACACTTATGTAGACTTCTTAAAGTGCTTTGCAATACATTCTGAAACCAGGCAGCGAAGAGTGAATCTGCTTTGATTGCAACAGTAAACACAACCTATGGATGCACTATGGCTTTCCTTCTTTGGAAGGATAATTCCCAAATCACACAGGAAAAAAATGCATTTAAGAAAATAAATAGGTGGAATGCTCCAAGTCAGCATCTTTTGCCAATCCAAAATCCTCAGTGACTTTAGAACATGAATCAGAGCCCATACAAACATAAATACACACATCCATATAGACCCATACATACACATACTTAAAGATACATAGAATCACAGAATGGTTTGGGTTGGAAGGGTTCTTAAAACTCATCCAGTTCCAACCCCCTGCTGCAGGCAGGGACACCTTCCACTAGACCAGATTGCTCAAAGCCCCATCCATCCTGAATCCTCCTATTCCGTCATACTTGGAGTAAATCTGTGTACATGCATCTGATTTTAAAACTGTTTGAAAAGGTTTTCTGGGGACAATTCTTAGCAAAGTCTCTTAAACCTGGCAAAATGAAAGGTGGATAAACAGGCAATCACAGAACGAGGGGAAAGGAGGATTATGATTTGCATTTAGATGAAGAAATGTTAAATAACCATTACAGTAAAAGCTTTGTGTTAAGATAACCTTGGTTAAAGACTCGGAGCCATAGGGTTTTGGGGGGATAACAACATCACCCTTTACAGCCAGGCAAACAATTGCAAACCCACAACAGCCTCCTGCCATCTGCAGTGTCACCCTGTGGCTTAGGAAAGTTGCTGATCCAAGCAGGTTTGTGCTCCAAGATTAGCAGACCCTTTACACCAGCTTACCTGTCCATCACTGGAGAAGCATTTTGTCCTGATCCTCAGCCACCGAGACACGCAACACCAAGCACCGCAATGCAATGTGTGCTGTAAATGCATACACACAGGTCCTCTATCCTGATGGAGAGAGGCCTCCAGAAGGGGCAACCCACCCGTGGAGCAGCTTCTCACCAGTGGCAGTGGCTGTCCTCTGACGTGGGTCCCACCTCAAGGATAGGCGATGCATGGTCAGAGTCCCCTGCAAGTGCTCTTGGGTGCCCACCTCCTTCAACTTCTTGCTTGCATGGGCCACTCCAACTGAGTGGGTGCTCTGGGACCCTCCATGCCGTGTCAAAAGCTTCCTATGTCCCTTTTGGCCAGGGCCATCCTTCTCCTTCAGAGTTTCATGACTTCAGGAACATCCTCCCAAGACCTTAGTTCCTCAATGAAGGTCTTGCAGAGCTCCAGGCTGCTTCACTCTCAACTGTCTCAGTGCAGAGATGTACTCACATCTAACAAAGTAATTGTAGGGATGGCATCTTAAAGCTCTGCCCTTGGATTAGTGGGATTTAGCTCCTGGGATCTGCCCCTGCAGAACAGCTCCTTAAGTCTCTCTGCACCACAGAAGGGATAGCTCCTTTTCAGCTCTCTAAGCAGCAGAGACAAGAGCTATTTTAGGTTTGGGGTAAGCAGAATACTTGATTTTGGGCTTTATCATCCTGCTGATGTGTTACATTCCCCTTTTCCCTGTTTTTTCCTTGTACTCACCATGACACATACACAGCTTTATACACTTCTTTCTCATTCCCTGGGTCTTCTAGATATCTCCCTATAGCTGAGTCACCCAATAACCCTCTCCATACTCCCAGACACTTTCTTTGCCCAGTGGACCAGGCAATACAACTCATGTGGAAAGACCTCGCATGTCTCAATGCCTGTCTTAGCTAGGAAGCCCCTTGAAATAATTTAGCTGAGGCCACAGAAACGCTTGTGGCCTAGAGGGAACCATTTGTAATTCAGCCTTTTTAGCAGTATTAACTTCAAATGCATCATATAAATTATACACATCTCATTGGTGTGTGTATGTTCAGGAGCAGTTCTTCATGACTAATGATTGAGGGAAGCCACAAAGACTTTCAGATTCAGTGGAGAAAGCAGCTCTCGTCATTCATCACATTAATTTCCTCCCATTCATTCATTTCCTTGCACAGCCCAGATCCAGGATGGTTCCTGGACACGTGATTCATTGAAGACTGGTACAGCTCAAGATAGCTATCAGGAATTACCAAATAGCTTCGCATTTGGAAAGTGACTCAAAGGCACGCTAACGTCAAGCTTAGAGCATTGCTTTGCATGCTATGAGTGCATTAGGTTTTGACACTGGGTTTTAATCAAACCATGGCATTCAGTGAAGTTTTTGGAGTCTGTTTTTGCTTAACTGCACTTAAAAGTTTGGTTTATCCATCTACAAATACACCCACGTCTCTATGTGTATATCATATACTCACTGCTATCTCATTTCTCTTGGTATCAACAGTGGTGCTGTACAGCTTCATTCCACTCAGAGCCAGCAACAACAAGGTCTCCTAGACTAGCTGCAACAGTCACTTCTATAGGAGTGTGAGGTGTTCCTGCCCATGGCAGGGGATTGGGACTGGATGATCTTAAGGTCCTTTCCAACCAAAACCATTCTATGATTCTATGTCCATAACATTAAAATCTCCTCTGTTGAGGGTCAGGCACCCAGCAATGAAAGACTAGAAAATAACCAACTTGGAGGTCTGTTTATCAGGGTAATTACTCTGACCCTTAGCAGTTCATACTTTTCCATAGCCAAGTGGGTTGAAACCTTTATCATTTCCTCCCTTTGCTTCTGCTTCTCGTTTGACAGGGCAAGAAAAGACCCTCCTGCAATCAGGTAATGATAGTGTCAGGAAACCACCCTCCAAAGGAAAAGCTGGTTGTTCCAAATGACTCCAAATGTCTGCCCCATGCTCAGGCTGTGCAGGACTGGGGATAACATTCTTGCTTTTGCAAAAGGAGTCCTGGCACTGCCTGATTTGCCTTATTAATAGCAAGCAAGGTAAATCAAGCAGCAGAGGCAAAGAATAAAAGGTGTTGTTAAGGTAATTCATCTGGCTGGAATTAGCATTAAGGTTTAAAACTTTGCGTATGCCTCCAAACCTTGCTTTTTTCTCACCTCTTCAGCTCATCATTCCTGCCACAGCCGCATCACAGAGCAAAGATCTCTTTGTAATCCCGTGTTGCCTGCACACCATCAGATCAATTCCCAGCGCTCTGCCGTACTCACTGGAGTGAGAGATGCGTGTGCCTGTATAGACATAACATTTCCCACGGGCAGGTTAAGCCACAGCTGTATCACTTTGCTTTAATTTTTTAGGGCAGAAGAGGGTGCTCTAATCTCTTGGTCTGACCTCCCACATCAGCCTTGGCCAAAGAGCTGCTGCTGCTCCGAGCTCTTCAAGCATCCTGGAAATGAAATGTGTTTTGTAATGAATTATACCTGAGGGTACGGCTGAATAAAGCTGATTTCTCTGGAAACCTTCTGCAGGCAGCAGAGAGAGACAGGGAAAAGGCTTGGCTCCTGTTCTGCCTCTTCCTGCAGAACGGTCTCATGTCTCCACTGATTAATAGAGAAAACCAAGGGAGAGCAGCATGGCAACACTTTGTGTTAGCCTTTCTTCGCGTCCTCTGAGCCTTAATTAAAAGCTCCAGCCTTGGAGGGATCAACCAGGTTCCCACATCTATTGTTCCAACTGTTAATTACCCTCAACATGAGAAATACCCACTTAACATCTAGTGTGTCTGGCTTCAGCTTCCTGCAACGGGCTCTCACTCCGCCTTTGCCTGAGAAGCAGAGCACCAGAAAGCACAATAAATACCACCTCCCTGTAGACGTTTGCAAACCATAATTAGCTCACATCCCAGTCATCCTCTGAGTAAAAGAAATAAACAACTCCACAAGGCTTTTGCTATAGAGCATGCTGTCAGGATCGCATCCTTGCGCTGCTCTTTTGACATTCATTTTTCATTTCCCTTCCCATTGCTTTATTAAATGCCGTAGCGAGCCTCGCTCTTCAATGCTGAATATTGATGTGATGGCATCTTTTATCACCTATTTGATTTTTCCCCACTTCAGTTCTATAGCTCAGATGAGCACAGACGCGACATCCCTGTTTTCAAGCCTGTCTCTGCTTTCCCTCATGCAAACATCTGCCTTGGAAGCATGGCGTGAATTCTCTGTTCCCACTTGTATACAAACCCGTCTGCTTTTAGTTTAGAGGATCCTTTTCAAATCTGTCCATTTAATGAGAGCCCCAGACCAATCTGCGTGTCATGAGAATAATGATTTTTCTGTTTCTTCCAGGTAATGTGATACAGATATTGAACAGCACTGGAAAAAATGAGGTCCCAGAGGCTCCGCTGGAAAACACCACTAAAGGAGGCTCCTCATCTACTATTTTATTTCAAAACAGCCATTAATCACATTTTATTTTCCTTATGACGCAGACACGTTGACTGCAGAGCACTGATTTTCTCTCTCAAGATCACCTTTCAGCCGGATGACAACTTGTAGGCATTTAAGACAACATCACCACTTGACTTTACATGCCAGACCTGTGACTCGATCACAACAATTATGTAAAGTCATCCTGTCAAGATTCATTATCGCTTCAGCCTCACTGCCTCGCATTAGTTAACCCCTCCATCCCTTAATTCTTTACAAGTTCCTCCTCATTTTGTCCTTCCCGTGGCTTTGATTTGCTTGATGTTAACCCAATCTGACATCAGTTTCTTGGTCATGCAGCACAGTTTGATGCCTCATGGTGTTGGAGGGGCTGTTTTTTGGGTGGAAGAGTGTCCTGCTGTGCCATATTATCCTGTTTTCAAGTTGCAGCCCAGCATGTGGAATGCCTTTTCCTCCGGATTGTCTGGTTTTCATCAGAGCAGCTACATGTCTCTGCATCAGAGCAGTTGCATGTCAGCCCTGAAGAGTCCTGCAGAGTCAAGTTCAAGCGAGTCCACTTCCTTCCCAAACTGCCCAGATTTGATTTTCTTGGAATCTGATTTTGTAGCCTGTAAGATCTGAACTCTCTGGCACTGGTGTTAGTGGAATATATGACGTTGCATGTAGTTTGAATAGTCAATATTAGAGCTGGCAGGAAACAGTCTCATAGCACTAGATGAGATATTTATACATTTATTTATTTAGGCATCAAGACCCGAGTGCTTGACAGCCTTGTCTCCAGAAACTCATTATATAGCAACACAT